TGCTGATGTACATAAGTAACACCCACATGGGCTGAGAGGCGAGCCCAGGGCACTATCAGCACACCTCTCCCTGGAGGCTGAGGGAGGACAGGCAGGCAGCCGTGTGGGTTCTGACAGTTTTAGGTCAGTTGTGTTAAGGCTAGTCCAGCTGAAATGAACAAACAGGGAGATGGAAATGCTTCAGGCTAACTGCTATCCATCTGCATCATACTTTAAAATGTTTTTATTGAATATTAAACAATTACAAGTACTGTGAGTTAGACATTTAGCCAAAGCACAATTACAGGTAAATATATAGTCATAAAGATGTCTTAAATAGAAACCCACCATGTAGGCAGTTAAGTTCTTTGATGCCCTCTTTTGGAAAGTAGAGGGTGAGGGATAATAGGTCTTCATTCCACGTGGAAGGTAGTGAAGACTAGGAGAATTTACATGCTGGAAGCGATTTCGGTGATCAAGTTGACAGGGCTGCCAGCATTAGCAAGAGAAAACACCGGGATGCTCAGTAAATTTGAATCTCAAATAATGAATACTTTGTTTTTTTTACTATAAATATATGCCAAATAATGCATGAAACATGCTCAAGCTAGAAAATTGTTTATCTGAAATTCAAATGTAACTGGGTGTCTTGTATTTTATCTGGCAATCCTGCAAATAGACAAATGCAAAAGAGGCGGCAGGGACTGGAGCCCCTGCACTGGTGGGTGACATGGAGGTGGAAATAAAACCTCCACCCAGGATGCGCCCGGGCCACTACAGGGGTTCCTCACACAGACCAATGTCACAGTGAGAAGAGGCAACTGCCACTCCCAGGGCTGTTGCCAGGAAACATCTAGATTTCCTCAGCGCTTACTTTGTAGATGCTTTTGAGAAACCCTGTGGCTAAAAGTACCTTTTTAGTTTGTAGGTATCAAAGACAAGTCCTACTGCCACAAAGAAAGATGAGCGTTAAACAACTGGAAGCAGAAGCAGGCATCTGAAAAGATGGTTGCTAGGGGGGCTGTGGAGACGTGGGAGTATAAAAGCGGAAAAGAAAATGCGAAAGAATGAAAGATCAAAATGTGATCACCTCTATGGAGTGAACGTTGTTTTGAAGGAGGTTGACCCCTCGGGCAGATGAATAAAACTGGTCACCCCGTGAACACATTTGGTCTTACAGGGAACATTAAATCTTCAGCTTTCTACTGCTTCTCACTTATCACCATAGCTTGTATTTTAAAATGATTTAAAAACAGCTTGTGTAACACTCAAATTCTACATGGTACCACTTTAAGTGTGGTCGGTTATCCCCACATACACACAACTTGATAGGTTTCAAAATCTTTCTAGCATTTCTCCAAAACAGGAGATGTGGTAGCTGAGGAATTTCAGACGGGGAAAGTGGAATGAATTCATAGTATCGGCTCTTTTGCACGGGGGAGGAGCATTTCTAATGAAATAAACCCTCATCAAATTAACAGTAGCAGATGTGAAATGCACGGGGACACACCAACTCCCTGACACCTTTCAAACACTGGGAAATGCAATTATGACTTTTTGCTCATAGGATAGGAAAGGTTAAAAGTTTCTGCCACAGTTAAGGCTTTCTTGAGAACAAATTTAATTGTCTATTTGCTCCAAAATGTACCAGGTGTCTGAAGAAGCCTCACTTTTTAGGGTGGTTTCTTTAAACAGTGCATTTCCTTTTCATACACTAAGTATGTCTGACCAAAGCTCCAGCATTATCGTCACAATGCTTTCATTTCTCTGTTGCTGATTTGACGTTGAACAAGTTTTAACTTTGGTCTTTAAATACATTTCTGACAAACGAAACCCTACCTTGATGTCAGTTTTGAGTTCTCCCTGAATGGCTAGAATCTATAGCTCTGTGCAAGATAACTTCCCAAAAGAAAACACAGTAAGGAGGCTGTTTGTCACAGACACAAGTGGGAGCTGGACACACTGGCGGAAAGGTACTTAAAATTACACAGCATTTCTTTTTGAAAGGCCCTTTTTGGGAATCCAGAAAGTGCACTTTTGAATAGGGAGGGTGAGCAATGTCCAATGACCCTTGTGCAATTGGGAGATGTACTGAAATAGAGAAAAACTTAGACAGCTTAGTGTGTTCTAACGCTGTCTGTCCAGGGCACACAAAAATTTTGTTTTTTTGTATAAAGACTATAATAATACTAATAATCCACACTACTTTACTTGCCATAGTCAGGAATTTGTACGTATCGATATACTTTGCTACTCTGAGAGCAAAGGGAGATTAGTCAGGCCACTGACATCAAACTCAAATGAGCACAAGGATGCTATTTCATGAAAGCATCCTATTATTGAAATTCCAAATTCCAAGTAAAAAGTAAATAAGAATCCTGGTTGTACTGCTATTATTTTGATTACAATTAAACCTCTGGGTCCTATGGTGTCCTTGTTAACAAAGTGGCAGAATCTTCTGAGTTGAGCACTTGAAGCCCAACACCTGGTTCCGGCTGTGATACAGAAACAGAGAGGTACATCGTCTCCTTCTGTAGGACTCAAGAAGAAGAAGGGAGGTCACTGCTGGCGTGAATGGCAGTAATTCCAGCCAGACTAGCAATCTGGGGAAAAGGGGAGGAGGCCAAATACCCAGAGATGGGCCAGTCCAGAGCACTTAACTTATGCCTGAGTCAAGCATCGAGCTGGCCGGTACCTAGTAAACTGGAGCCTCAGGTCGAGAAGCCCTTGGATTTTAGAGCCGCGGTAAAACTGGTGGAGGCATCCAGATGCTCTTCCACGTGGCTTAGGAAACAGGGCTCTTCCACAGAGCCACGTGGGAAGCCCTCACTTTGCTAGTGTTTCTGTGTAGTGCATGTACAGGAAAGTATATGGATTCTGGCCTAATTCAATTCCAAAGGGTTTTGCACATTGCTACGGATGGAAATTCCCAAAGTAATCAACTCTCGCTAACTTGAGTGCCCTCATGATGACCCTTGGTTTTCAAGGTTCGAAAAAATGTATTTGACTCCTGTGAGATGTCAGTCAGCCCTCATCCCATTCTCTTTAGCAGATGAATAATATATACACATTCTTTCAAGGACAATGTGCTCGAATGATTACAAGACAAACAGCATGGAAATGTCTTTCTTACACGGTACCTTTACTCTCACACAGAACATCAGAGACAGAACATTGGCAGTTTCAATACGGAACCACAGTTTAACTTCTTGAGTGTAAGGCTGAAGTTTAAAACCGGCACATCCACTATCTAGTTAGTATGATGGAAACAACATAGAACCACAGGTGGGTAGTGGCTTATCTTTTTAATGAAGCTGTACAGCTTTCGATATCTATACCATATTAACCCTTTTACTTGTCAACTAAAAGTCACAGCTGTGTTTACCATTTTAAACTCTAAGTCAGGAGGCAAGTAACAGTCACTTTCACAGCTACTGGAAGCTATAATGATTCTTTCTTCAACCCACTGTTACAGCAGAAAAGAAGGAAAGGAGGAAAAAAGCCCTCTTAATGACTATCAAACTTCCGTATCAAGCTTCATATGGAATTCTAGTGCTATTCAACAAGCAGCCAAGACACGAGGGCCCAGACTGGGTCACTGAAACTTCAATAGAAGCAATAACTGAGGCTAATTCCTGATTTGATTCTGAGGACCCATGCAAGATTCTGCTATAAAACTCAAACTAGATCCCGATGCCTAGTTCTAGAGTTGGACTCAAGCCAGAAGGAAAGCAAAACATGTTCTCTAAGAGCCTATTCTAGAATTTTTGCATGTAACCATTTTATTTTTCTTATGGAGACTAAATGAGGTCACAGTTTAATGAGCCTGCATTAATAAAGAAACAATTCATTTGCAGGGCTTTAAGTTGAAATGGCAGGTTTGTGTCACACTGATTTTCCTCTTTTTCCACTATGTTCCTCTTAGCTTTGATGCATCTCAGCTGAGTAGATGCACAGCACGTGAACATAAACCAGCTGATGCACTCAAAGTGCTGCTCAGTTAAGGGGAGAAGGGTAAGGGCTAATGGGCAATCTTTTGTAAGTGTTGGTGTGCACTTGGCAAATGTTGATAAGAACAAGTGAAACAAAGTAGTAATTTCATGAAGACACAATACGGTGTCTCTCCACCTTTGTCCAAAAAAGTAACTGAAAGAGCTTTGGTTTCAGTTTTGTTCTTTTGAAGAAATGGTTCAAAAATTTAGTGCAGGGACCTACAGAAACTATTTGAAGCCCCTCACTCAAAATAGACCCCAAACCTGGAGTAAACGAAAAAGTCCTTGCATTTGTGCATATCTACCTACTGAACAGGATTTGAATCCTAGCTTTCTAAACTAGAAAAACAAGAAAGCAATTATTTTTTTACTCTGATGAAGTACAGCAATCCCACTGATTTGGAAATAAGGCAACTAATTTTGGGGGCGACAATTCTGGTGGAGCAGGTTGAGAAGTCGTTTTTCCTTTGGCGTCCGTGCAATCCTTTTCCCGCGGTATCACAGAACCGCGGGCTGCTCGCCCTGCTTCCTGCTGCTTCTGTGCAGCCCTCCCTAGAGGCTCACCCCGGAGCGCCTGCCCAGCATCACGCAGCCTGCGCTCTTCGCGGGCCTCCCGCACTGTCCCCACGCCTCTGGAGCAGGCCTGCACCGAAGGAGCAAGTGGCCCTCCTTGACGGTCCTGAACTGGGGAGCTCCGAGTCAGGGGGACGCCTGCGCCTGTCCCTTGGAAGACTGGCCAGTTAATAAAAGGAAACTGAAACTTGATGTTTTTCTTTTCCATCTCAGTTTACATTGACAAGCGCAGATACAAAAGAAATCAAAGTGAGGAAAAAAATGTGGAAACTAAGTCTTGCTCGGCCAGAAGCTTGGGTTGCATTGCTAATGGTTTTGGTCAGTGTGACTCTGTGCAAAATATCCTCAAGGAGATTCTGGCTCAAAGTAAGCAAAAACAAAACAAAACAAAAAAGCCACGATGCATGTTTGGAAAAAATTAAAACTGAATATGTGTATATTTATTATATACACATGCCATATATAAAAAAGCCAATGTAGTGTGTTGAAATGTGAACATTTGAGAAAATATTGGTTGTTTTCTTTTTTTCCATTTCCAAGTCTCGATCAATCTTGTTTCAGAAATGGGTAACTGCCATGAAAATGAGCCTGAGATATGTTCAAAGGCCGCCCCTGTAAACATTTCCTCAAAGGGAATAGTAGCAGTTGAGTATGTATCAGGTACTCATACTATATTCATCACGATAGCAATGCTTTATAAAGACAAACAGCTTATTTCTAGGCTGTCAGGGGTTTCTAGACTATTGATTTTTGTTGGAAACAATCCACTGTAATCCAGTCCCACATTTAGATCCGATCTGGCCTTTACCAGTGGGCCTTCACTAGGTCTTCTGCTCTGCGGCTGTTGTGGTCTGTGAAGGAGCTTCCGGCTTCATGATCTGGTAGGTGATGAGATACTCTGGGTATGCCTGAGAAGGAACGGAAGAAAAACACATCACCCTTCTGGCAGGTACAATATGAAATGTGGAAGCCTAAGAGGCTGTCGATCCTCACCAACATTCTACGCTCACACAAGAGCCTACGGGGACCAGCCAATAACAACAGGCATCTGAACAGTGAGGACGGCCATACACAGCAGTACGTGAACATGCACACATCCTACAATCTGGAGAACTGTTCTAATGCTATTCCCACTTTGAGGACTGTAAACTAGTCACACTGCGCTGGTCCCTCCTTAGAGCCCCGTGCTGTGAACAGGAAAACCAAAGCAGGAGAAAGTCTCTGCTTTTCACCTCGCCAAGTGCTGTCGCACAACACGTGTTCAATGAAGGTGTGTTAAAGGAAAGAATGGTTCTGCGGAACTGATTTCAAGTTACTCATCGAGTAACTATAACCCCTGAGCCAGAAGGAGGAAGGGTGAGGTGCGCTGAGTCACAGATAACTCAGAGACAACAGTCTGGAGATAATTTTTAAAAGGTGACTAACTAAAGGGAACTTTTATAGGTAAGAAAATGGCTCAGATTTGGACCCTTCGCCCCTTCTATTCTCTTTCTCTTCTGTCTCTGCTTTCCTGCAGTATGTAAACCAAGGGTTCAGTGCCTGGAATGGACAGAGAACCTCCTGACAGGAGCAGGGAGAGGAAGGCTGACCACAGGAGGTTGTTATAAACCTTAATCAGGAAACACTACAAAGACAACTGCGGGATGTGGGGGGGACCCCCTGAAACCATAAGGATTCTCCAGTCCTATATATAACATAACATAACGGTAAGACTAGACTCAGTATTTCAGAATGGTCTGTGGCTGAAAAATAGTACATCTTTTCCCAAATAGCATTCTTTGGGGGCCCCCAAATAACTTTTTGAATACTGATCTACAATTTCCTTATATACGGATATGAAGTAAGATAATAAAAAGAATGAAGGATAACAAAAACCTAGACTGTTCAATATTTGAAATGCAAAAATACACATGATGGATGTTACTTATCACCAGTACACATCTATTGAGCATCTATTGTGTACAAAGCCCTTTGGCTGGAGACATGGACCCTGCTGTCATGCAGTTTCTCACCTTGTTTGGGAGGTTAAGCCAGAAACAGAAAAAGAGGAATTCCAAAATAACCCAAGCTCGCATGTGCTAAGTGTCAAAAACAAGTGTGAAGCACACCCAACTTCCTTTTACCCAGTGCAATGTAATGATCCTTGGTATGACGCATTTTTTTTGCTTGCAGAAAAGTTCCTTAAGCAAAGGAGTCAGTCATGCCAGTATTTGAATTTTGGCATGCACTACTTCAGGGGATCCCTGACATATGTAAATTTTAGGCCAATTCTAAGATTCCAACGGTATATTCCAACGGTATCAGTTACTTAAAGGCCCTTATCTGAGTGCTCCTGCCGCCCACTGATTAGGCTATGAATTGTTTCTGTGTCCAGTTTGAGATACTAATTAGTCACATCAAAGCCCAGAGGGATTTAAGGCAAGGGAATTATTAACTACAGGAACAGAAGGGCCCAAGACAGACCAATAAACATGATTTCCTATCAAGTCACTTTAAATCCATTGATTTTTTTTTTTTTTTTTAGTTCCTAGAAGAAAAAATTCAATTACCACTTTTGGCAATTGCCTTTCGCCCTTCCAACTCTTCTTAACCCAGATCTCCAAATGCTACAATTTAATCTCAAATGCTTTCAGTTTATTCTTCAGAGAGATGACTAATCATACTCTTTTGAATAATTGTGTCTATTTGAAAATCACCCTAAAATCACTGTATAGTCGTCTATTCACAGGTTAAATAACTGCATTGTTCACAACATTTCAGTAAAATAGGCTAAATCTCTGTGGCAACTAATGCCTGGGGAAACCTCTCCTTTATGTCTAATTTAATGTGAAGCTTCAACTACAACAGACAAAAATATTCCTGATTTTTAAGTCCAGTCACATACTAGAATCAGAAACACTTTTTTCTCAAGGATAGCACAGTTAACTGTTAATACATTTTTTCAATTCTACAGAAAGAAACAATCCCATGAGTAATACTCAAATCAACTCTTTGAAGAAAATATTTGTGTGTTCTAAGAAGTGTTAATACTAAAGGTGAAGGATGATTTAAGATAACTACGGGGAATGAAATAGAAGTTAGCAAAAGAAAACCTCACTGTAAATCAAGGGAAACTGCTGACAGAAAATGACTCAAGTAGCAGGCTTTACAGTATAGTACACTATTTCTACTATGCTGTCATTACAATCCACTACACTGTCTGTACACAACATAAACTATCCATGTGGGCACGTGGACATGGAAGCACAAGTATGCGCCCCCAAAATGAAACACACAAGTACATGCATTTCATTTTCAAGGTACTTTTTCCTCTCAGAAGATTTGGACCACATCATTCTCTAAAATTATTTTAGCAAGAGACTCTAAACAAGTTAAGAAGCCATTGGAAATGGCTGGACTAGGAAATATTAGGAACAAACCTATTATTATTTTTGAAGTCTACTTTATTTCTTTCCACCCAAATATAAAAACAATTTACTTACCATAGGTAACCCAGAGATAACTGTTCTTATGTTGTAGTTGATTCTGTGTTTAACATACCATGTAAATGCATTTTTAGATATATAAACTAATATATATTTAATATAAATGTTATACATATACATATTTATTTAATAAAAATTTAACATATAGGCATATAAATATACTGACATTTAATCATTCTCTTTCTGCTGAACATTTAGGTTGTTTAAATTTTTCATTATGATCAAGACAGTGATGAACATCCTTAGAGCTTTTGTTGTGCTCATCACTGATTATTTCTAATGCAAATATCTAAAAGTGGAATTACTGGGTCAAAGAGAAAGCATTTCCCTAGAGTTTCTCTGGAGTTTCTGATTTAAACAGAATTATCTGACAAATTTATTCTGTGGTAGTTTTTAAGTATTTTATTTGGAAATCACTCCAAATAAAGCTGCAAAAATTAAAAGAGTACCCCAGACACCTGCATATTCTGTACCCACGTGTACCTATAGTCAAAGTTTTATTCATTTCATTTGCTTTATCACCTGTACTTTTCCCTGCCTTTAGGTATACTAGGGAGACAGACAGACAGACATATTTTTTCCTGAACCTATTTGGGAGTAAGTTATATATACTGTCATGGTTCTTTATCCCTAAATATGCCAGTATTTATTTCCTAGGAATAGGGATATGCACAGAATCAGCCTTATAATTTTATATTGATATAATACTTTTATCTACCTACCATTTGTCACCAGTATTATCAGTTGATCTAATAATATCCTTTTCCTTCCAGTACCAGATCTAATTTGGGAACAAGACCCTAAATTAGCTGTCCTGTGTCTTGGGTTTCATTTACTCTGGAAAGTCTTATTTCTTATTTAAGTACAGTATTTGTTACTGGATTTATTTTGGTGTTCAAACTGTCCCAGATTTGGCAAGTGGAAGCCCCTTCATGCTGCCTGTGTCCTTATGATATGTCCCCACCATTTTTTTGAGCACTTCATTACTTTCTTGTATAACAAGATGTTCCAGGCTTATCTTTTCCCACTTCTGCTCCAGCCTTGGAATTAGCTGTTTCTCCAAAAGGCCCAGCTTTCTTTTATGGGCAATGGTATTAGAGACCAAGATGTGGGCTCTAGGTGTGTTCACTGCTATTGAGGTTTCTTTGCTTTCAGCAGATAGTGTTAAGAACTATATGCACATATATATCCATATATATACACATGCTTTCATGCAGGCTTACACATATACCTATACATACATGTATGAACCAGTATACATACATACATTAGAAACCATGAGTTCACATCAATACCTCCAATTTCTGTCCATCCCTACAGAGTCCTCCTTACCTTCCCCCATTCCACAATCATTTCCTTTATTCTACAGTGAGAATCCCAGCTCCCAAAATCAATACAACAACATACACATTTGCTCAACCCTAGAACATACTGAAAAGAGTCCCACTGCTTTACCCACACCATTACCATCAACACAGCCCCTGGGGTTTAGGATTTATCTGCCATTTGTCCCCCTACTCCACACACTACCCAGCCCAAAACTGATAGCATATAATAACTATTATTTTCATAGGTTACTTGTACTTAATTTCTTGTTTCTCCTTTTTTCTCTTCTCTATCAGTGCAGTTAAGTTCAAACTGACTTTTTAAAAGATACATCAGTAGGCATTTAGCAGTATTGTGAGAGTTTGGGGCTGGGCTGAAAATGACAGAAAGTTTTCCAGCTTGTTGACAATTTTATTTTGAAGCTTCAAGCAGTTAGCAGCATTTTAGCTTTATGACTCAGAAAGCTATCCTTCGGTGTAGGTACAATGATCAGGAGTACAGAGATTCAACTCATGTGACCAGCCTGTGGCAAGAGCATCCAGGGAGGAGACCCATTAAATGGCAACTGCTCTTAGCTTTCCACTGCCATGTTGGGAGATGAAAGTCACAGAGCACGAATTGAAAACAGCAGGCCGCAGGACAGCGTGACATCCCAGGCCTTTATTTCTCAGCCTGACACTTGTTCACACTGTAGTACTTGGCTGACAGGCGACAGATGGATTCTGTGGGTCAAGATGGTATCAAAGAATTCTGATATCTTTATTTTGACCTGAGGCAACTAAAGCTATCAACTATGTGGTGGATATTTCATTAAATGGTTTTCTTGTGTAGCCTCCAAATGCTGTGTTGACATGTTTAGTAGCTGGGTTATGCTTATCTGGTGAGTAGCATACCTGTTCTCCTCTGTAGATGACATATTCCGCATATGCCAGCCCATTCACACTTGGTCTCCCAATAACCGAGTGATGGCCTGGAGGGGCATGAGCCATTTTCATGGTGCTGAACTGCAGAAAGGATTTTCCAAGGGTCACCCTACAGAAAAGCATTTGTCTAAAGAAAAAAGGAAAGCAATGCTTTGAAGGAAGCTTTAAATCTTAGGATGATAACTGCTAGATTTGTCGATTTTTAAAAATATACCTCACACATGGCAAGGTAACTTAAATGTTAATTTCAAATTTATGAGTAGGAATGGGACAGCAGTTGATTCGCTGACTTACTATAAACAGCAGGCTCAATAGTTAATGGTTTTGGAGGTGAGGTTTAGGAATCAGTCACAGAAAACACCTGGCAAGTCTCAACTAGTGGAAAGAGAGAAATACCCGTGGAAATTGAGTTCCTGTATGGATGGACAGGAGGAAAGTGAAGAATTATCAGCTGGCAGCAGCATCGGAAATTAGGACAGGGTTTACTCATTATGAAGATGTAAAAACTGGGACGAGATAAAAAATATAAAAGGGGATCATATACAAAAACACTTAGCTAAATGTACAGCTAGAAATTATATTACCTGGGTGAAATGTGAATTAGGGCATATGTTAAATATTATAGAGGAGAAGAAAGACCAGGAAGAAAGTGTATTACATAAACTAGGGGTTGGCAAATTATGGCCCATGGCTCAAATCTAGTCTGCCACCTGTTTTTGTGAATAAAAATTGATTGGACACAGCCACATTCATTCACATGTCATCTGTGGCTGTTTTTGCAGTACAAGGGTAGGGGTGAGTCATATGGCCTGCAAAGCCTTAGATAGTTATTATGGGACCTTTTAAAATAAAAGTTTGCAAACACTTTACATAAATTATAAACAGTTTAACTAATTAGTAAGACTGGTTGGTTATACTGTTATATGTAGTTATTCAATCAGTTTGTTTTGTAACAGAGTATGATCTTCACATTTAACTAATCAGAGATATTATTTTAAGTCAAAATTTTGCCAGACCCAGTATAACTGGGTCCTGCCTGGACTGGCTTTTTTAGTGTGATCCTGCTGATGATTCCCTGGGACGCTGCCTTGGGTATCAAATGTATACTCTTGGAGAAGGGAGGCTCCACCCTGCGGCAGCACTCAGGTGTCCTCAGGTATGCCCGCTCAGCCCCCCGCACCCTCTCCTAGGGCTACTCTCAGTCCGTACACCGCACAGAGCTGGACCTGACAGGCATGGCCTCTTGCCTCCTGCTTCCTGCCCCAGGCTTCCCTGTGCTGTGCAGGCAGGAGAAGGTGCAGGGCTGGCCAATGACGCTGCAGGCAACTGCCAGGCAGCTGAAGTGAACAGGCTCCCGCCTGCCCACTGGCCTGCCTTGTGCACTGTGGTACAATCTACAGATGCAGAATCCCAAACTGTGGGGCTACTACTGCCCTGTCGGGTAAATCCTGACCAGTGCAGGAGAGGGGCCAGCAGATAAATTCTCCCATGATGCACTGTTGTGAGATGCAGTAGGTCACACAGTTTCTCTGACGATGTCTCACAGACTGAGCACCCAACTTAATTGCTATGAACCCAGGCCAGCTCACGGATGCACCTCACTGTCTGCTCTGCCTCCTCCTCCACCTCGCTTCTTCTTGGGCCTTCACTCCTGCTTCCCTGCTCCTGCATTTGCCAAGGAAGTGCTAGTGCATAAGCTTTTGCTTCAGGCTCTGCGTTCTAGGAAATCCTGGCTAAGACACAAACTTGTGTCTAATTTTAATGAGCAACTGTTAATCCTCATGTAGGTTAACTTTCATTGCTTATTTAGGAGTTAGGTTTGAAGCAACAGAGAAATTTTTGTATGTTACATATCCTTGGGAATTTCTCTGTGTTATTAACTACAGCAACCTTAATAGAAAGACATTTCCTTTTGGACATATCACATCCATCCTAGAACTGCTGACAGCTACAATTCTTTTCATAATGTAATGGGCAGTGATAGGTTTTAAGGTAAACAACTATAGTGAATTTCAAGGTTATATGGGTTTTTTGAGGTTTCAACTGAATTGCAAGATGTCTTATTAGCCAACTTCACAAAAATAATGCATCTGGTTAAAGAGAAATGAAATAAATTGCAATCTTTGTAAAGTACAATTCTTTTCTATTTTTTCCAATGGCAAAAAAGGGAACAGTATTTTTTTCCCTTGACTTCAGAGGAGTATACTAGTATCTCTTTAATTTCTGAGTTTAAAATCCTATTTGAAAAGGATTTTAAAAACCTATTTCATTTGTTTACTGTAAATTCCAAAGTTAATATTCAAAGTGGGACTTTTAAAGGCTAATTATATATCCTGACTTAAAAACGTCAGTAGGAACATCAGAAGCAAATGAAAGCTTCTACTTGCTTATAGAAGTGGTGTATCTCACTTCAAATGTGACTACAGCTAGAGGGTCTGGCTGTACAGAAGTAATTCTCAGCTTCTAAAATTCTAAATCTGAAGCAAGTAGAGAAGCCCAGGGAGAAAACCAGGATGGAGGGAGTTCCACTGTGACCTATGCCTGGATGGCATGCATCTGTTTGTACTGCCACTGTTACCGCCCCTGTTAGAGCAGAGGCTGATCAGTTGCTCCCATCTGACCCTAAACCTGACTCTGAGCACACAACCATTACATTACAAAAGGCCGGATGCTCACCTGTGACATATATAACAGGACCGATCTTTGTGTGTGGGGCAGCCTGTTCCTCCTCCAATGCCGTAAACATACTGGTTGCTTTTAGAGGAGTTTTCAGCAAAATAAATCCCAGCACCAAACATTCCTCCTATGTATGCATGTCGTTCATCAAATCCTTTATGAATAATGGCATTAATGAAAGGAGAACCTAAAAATACAAAGATAGAAAGATTAGTTTTGGAGTATTTTTCTAGAGTCTATTAGCTGAATACTATCTGCACTTGGAAGGTTAATATGATTTTATTAATAATGCATAAATGAAAAGCTGCTATACATAAATTATTATTACATACTAGAATCTTATGAGGAAGCCAAAGTGTTCACCAAGCAAGGGTGTTATATGGATTTTGCAGATGGCATGAGATTTTAGATATCAAAGCACAATGGGTTATTTGACACCCAGTCTTCCTTTAAGCAGTAATAGGTAACCTGATAAACTATAACAATTATGCTAAATTATAATAAAAATATTTCACTATTTAGATGGCTCAACTTACAGTTTAAGTTCTGAAACAATGTCAGATAAATTATTTTCATCAAACATGCCTTGGAAAACCTGTACTAACATGTAAATGCATTAGAAAGCTGGTACCAACAGGCAACTGAAAAAAAATCAGAAGAAGCCTTCTTTTACACAATGCTAGCACAGTCAGTAACACAACCTTTTTGCTTTGTTAGAATTTGCAAAAGCCCAGCAAGATGACAGCCGCCCTGATACGCACCGTGGAATAACATGCGCTCATTGTGATGGTTGTGATTCTCCTCAGACACTTCCTTCTGTCTGTGGCAGAATCGTTCCCTCAATTTCTTGTTGACAACTTTTTGAATCTTTAAAGATGTGGAAGAAAGAAATGAATTACTGAAATATATGTGAATTGGCAGTTTATGATTTAAGATGAAAAGTATGTTTCCCTTTAGGAATGTGTTTACCTTTTAGTTTTTTGTTTTGTTTGCTTAGAAAATTAGTTAAAAATGATAAAGTTGCCAGGACCAGTGTGATTCAGTTAATACTCTGGTTTTAGTGACACACTTTTCAGTTGTGGTTTTTGTGTGTTATTCTGCATCAGACCTGGCTACACATCAAAATCGCCTGAGGAGTTAAAGAAAAAAGAAAGGTATTCCTAGACTCTTCCCCAGACTTACTAAATTTTAGAATATAGGCGCCTGTAAATCTGTATTTTTCTAAAAGCTCCCAAGATAATTCTGATATGCACTAATGTAAATTCCACAGATTAACCCAAAGGGTTAAACCAGTTCTCAACAGATGTTTTTCATCTTCATGGTATCCCTTTGAAAAATGCACATAGCAGTCATCTATCCCATATTCTAAATTAAGATACTGAGATTGAGAGATACATGCATTGTTATAATCACTGACTCAGTCAGATTAAAAATCCAGGCCTTTCAAGCTACTCTGAAATGGTGATAACAAAAAATACGGTCAGCTCTGCTCCAACTTTGAGGGTGAGCTGGGAGTCTCATTACCGTATTTGTATCACCAATACCAGTGGATCTGGCCTTCTGTTTACAGCTTTGCTGTGTTCCAGATAATCTGTTTTTTTAGTGAAGTGAAGTATGGTCTTAAGGGGTTACAGATTTATTTCTTTATGGCAGGGCAACAGGTGACTGATTATCCTGGATAGTTTGGAACTACGACACCTTAAAACATTTTTACATTGTTTATACTTGATTTCCAGGCAAGCCTTGCAATCCAATTTTCACCCTGAAATTTTAAACACTTACTCGAATGACATTATATCTGTTGAAGATGCCACCAGCATTACCACCATCTCTGTGTTCTCTAATTGTACTCTGCATCTATCAAACAAAATAAAATAACTTGGTGAAAATTTGCCAGTGTATAATTCTAAAGACATTCCTTTCATTGTTTTCAACATTTCAATTCTATTCTATTGTTACCTTAGAGCAGGCAGTTAGACAGACATGAGCAGGAGTGGACCGAGATGGGCAGCAGACCACGCAGCCCCCACCAGTCTCCATGCAGACCACCCGGCTCCCTAAGACCAACCCCTTCTGTGGTTCCGCACAAACGGATAAGCAAAAGATGTGGGTCACTGGGACCTTCCCAATTTTGGAGCACGTGCACTTAAGGAAAATCTTGTCCACTAATAACCCCGAGGCCATGGGAATATCATTTACACTGTGGTTTTGGCCCACTGCAGGTTTCACTTAGATGCCATGGAAAAAATGATGAACACAAGCTCGTGTAAAGAGGCTGAAAGGGAGGAACCAAGGCACAGCCAAAGGTTGATGTAAAGAATGGCAAAACGGGAGGAAGAAAACAAAACCCCCCCAAAAAGATACAGTGCAAAACCCAGCTGACGCTACCCACCCTCACGGTCAGCCTGCTCCTGTGTCTCTGGACTGTACTTTTCTTTTGCTATTGCGAAATAAAAAACTCTTTGAGGCTTTAACTTTCAAGGGGTCTCTTGACTCAGTTCTTTCCTTCGAGAAGATAAGAACAGGAATTCCACCATCCACTGCCCGGTAACAGGCACACCGATGAGTCTAAGACTCAGCACTAATAAATAAAGAGGAGTTCACTATAAATTGATCACATTTAGTGGGTAAGTATTTCGGGTGAAAAAATAGTCAAATGTATATAAATATTAAACTCCTGCATTTTCTATTTACATTCTAATAAAAGCTTTGAAGAATTTTTCTGTAAACACTATGGGGAAACATATAAATAAAGCATCACATTAAGTTGTCCACACTACTATTTTATGTTTCTGAGATGAGAAACAATGTGGTGATTAAGTTAAACTAAAACCCCCATATCCAATCAACACCCCAGTGGACAAATGCTAAAATAAACACAAAGAATTTTTAAAAATCAACAAATCCTCCCTAGATGAAGTATTCCACATCACCTCTTTAATTTGGGAATTTCAAAATACAGCTATGCAGAGCGGTGGCAGTAGCTGTGACACAGAACTCAGTGGAATAACCTGCCTTTGAACGCTCCTGCTCTACTCTCCAAATTACAAAGAACTATTATGAAAAGGTGAAATGTGTTCGAGACCTTAGTTTCTCTTAGAATTGATTCAGTTATTTCTCCATCTGTGAAACCATTCACCACACTTCTGACATTACTCAGAATTTACTAACTTTGAGAATGATCAGGGAGCAAGACACTAGAGGACAAACTGCTTTCCTGATAAAGTGGCTAAGTTTGAGCTGAAATGCTACACTGAGGTAATGGTCCTGAGTTCCTGGAATGGGAAGAATATGAGCACTAATCACAAGTCAGAAGACAAACAAACAAAAATGTTATCTCTGTAGAATAATGGAATTAGTTAGGCAGCTTATGTATCATGATAATGCTGCCAGGCACTTTGCTTGTTAGGCCTAAGAAGTGAGGCATAAGCCACCAGCAGGAAGGGAATCCCTGTGGCACCTGTCTACCGGGAGGTTCTTATAAATAGCCTTACTATGGCATTTCAAAATACTTGTGAATGGAGAAATGAAAGGTGACCCGAGTCAGGAGAGAGTTAGGAGGCGTGTGTAAGCATATACACAAATTAGGCATATGATTTTATAATCACATTTTATAACTGCATAAAAATAGAGATGAAAAGATAGTTGTTGTGAGGAAAGATTCTCAGTCCATATCATTCTTAGCATTTTAACAATATAAGAAAATAGTTTCAATAGGGTCTTTATCTGCATGAGTTGCAAGAAAGTCTCCAGAATGAAAAGACACCTCTGGCCCGCCCACTGGAAACCCTGGGCTTAGGGCATGAAAGCAACGTGGCCTAGTTCTAGTCTCTAGTCCCATTTTAATTTTGGCAACATTCCACCACAATGGCTAAGGAGCTACATGACAGGCAAGTGACCACAGTCAATATAAGACAAACTTACCTCCCCTGGAAAAAATAGGTTTAGCCACAGAAATCAGGAAAACATAAACATTTTGACGTATATTACCTCCTCTTCTACTGACTGATGCTCCTTATCTTCTGGGGCAAGATCCAACAAAACAGTTCCCTGATTAACACAGTGAAACGTCAAATAAGGGTTGGTGCCTGTAGGAAACACAAATCAACAAATTAAACAAAAGCCCATACTACGTAGGCTCCATTTCAGAAACAACCTTGTCATAAATAATTGATATCAGTCTAGAACAAGGCTAAACTATTTGTAATTCAAACCTGACACATAAAGTTATATTAAATAAACATATCCAAAGATGAGAGACATCATGGAGATGTGTTTGGGAATCAACTTTATCTGTTCTTACAGAGTTCCTAGTATACGAAGGGGCTCAGTAGTTATGTGTTGGACTGAACTCAATCATGTACATGAAGCTATGTCTGATAAAAAAGAAACTCACATCTGTAATTACAATGTAGTCAGGTCTAAAATACAAGTATTATCCTCTAAAACTCTGTAGGTAGCTTGAAATGGTCACTTATAATGTTTAAAATACATTGCTTTTGTTAATTTAACATAAATAAGCAAGACTCAAGCTCAAAGCTTCCTAACATTTACTTACATGTCTTTCTTACAATTTAATCAGCTCTGTAAGACTAATTCAACTTACTTTCTTTCTCTCCCTTTGATTTTTTATAGTGAAAGCATTTCTAACAATCAGAAATGATAAAGATGGAGGCATACAAAGGAGAAAGACAGGTGGCTTGTAACAGGAAGTTCAGTGGAAGAAGACTGAGCAACAGATGTGATTATGGGAGAAGGGCCAAGGTGAGGTGAGAGAGAATGGGCAGGTTATAAACAGTACGCTACACATGTCTGATTTTATCCTAAAGGCACCAGGATTCTAGTGAAGGGTTTTAAGTAATGGGATGATATGATCATATAATCATTTTGAGAAGTCTTCTAATTATAGTATAGGGAAGGTGTAGGAGGGGAGGCAAAGGTAAAGATTGGAGATAAGCTGGGAGCTGTCTGTGACAGTCCAGGAGAGAGATAACAGTGACCTGGATTAGGTGACAGCAGCGGGTAAGGACAGAAGTATAGATTCCAGAGATATTGAGATTATAAAATGAGGGTAGAGAGGGAAGAATGACTCAGTTTCTTGTAGAGCAACTCGAGGGAGAGTGTGCCAATAACTGAGATGTGGAAGGCAGGAGGTGCCAGACGAGCTCTGGAGTCAGACCGCCTGAGTTCAAATACCAGTCCCTACACTTACCCTGTTCCACTAATCTCTGAACAGTTTTTTTCTGAATATCTTACCTTGCTGTCCACCTAAGAGTCTCTCTACCCCTTTGATTAATTTATGGCGGTGTCCATATGCATTGATGCCAATTTCTTTCAACTCTTCATGACCCATATCAGCAAGCACATCTAGTGTAATCTGAAAAATGGAACACAGTTAATTGTTAATATTTAAAAGTTCCTTGGATGATGAAAGCTCTTCTACCTGGCTTCAATGTATAATATCCATTCAAATTAAGAAAATTCTTTTGTGTCCTTTATAAACATGAACTTACAATCTTCTTAAAGCTGTTGAGATAATTTTATCAGCTTTTTGCTCATGTGAAATACTCCATAAATTGCTTTTAGTGAATGGATAATTTAAATGGGAGAAACAATGCTATAGAAATAAAAAATGATTGTGGCTAATTTCCTTTTGATTATTTAATTCTACCACCTTTTGTTTGCTTCAAGATATACGAGAGAACAGCCAGTGGGAAACCCCAATATCCAGCAGGTGGCAGAGATTAGTGTGTGGAAAGGGAGAGGGGTTTAGCGCAATGAAACAGAACGTGGCAAAAGACGTGTGCAGTGTTAGATAAGTAGGGTTCATATAAAGGTAAGGAAGCAGTTCCCAGCGCTAACAAATATTCAAGCATGTTAAGGCCTGCCTTAGAAAGTAGTGAGATTAAGATTACAAGTATTTAGTTATATTACAGACCATTTTACATAAAAGCTATATAAAGAATTTCAACTTGGAGAAGAAAAGAGAGCAGGTGGTTTTGAAAGTTGCTCACAAATTCTCAGGTTTAAAAATCCCTGAAGGCTAACATACATTCCATTTTTGTAGAAAACAGTGGTTTTTGATTTTGGGTTATGCATCCCTGTACATGGAGATGGTTAGCTACCACCATGACTCAAAAAATTAACTAATTCCTTTGTTGATCAAAAGTAACGGTGACTCTATCACCACCTAGTGGAAGTGTTCTGAAAGCACAGCATGAAATCTTGGGCAGCCACTTTCTTGAGGGCTGAACATGGAATTTTCCAGCTCAGAAGACGCTGGCAGGGTGACAACTCAAAAACTATTTCACAAGATTTGCCCTTGATTGTCTCTTTCCTTGGAAAACTGAGAAATTATTTTATATACACCCTTTTTCGAGCTCAAAATTGAGATTTTTTTATCTACCCATAGTTTTCTCTACCTTCATACTTGCACATAGCATCTGAAAAAATGACAGATTAGACCCGGAGCTCTGGTGACTTCTACTGTCAGAATGAAATATTATACAATGAGTCTCATCTTCTCAGAGCATCAAGTACACATCACTCATTCTCTGGATATAATTTATTGCTCCTAACTGGCCATTTAAGAAGTAACTGCTCCATTGCACAAAATGGACACTTCACTTCAAATCACCCGAAGGTAGTTTTCAGCACAGCTTTTAAAAAGCAACAGTTCTGAAATATACATCTTGAGACAGAATAGTTTGCAACATAATAGAGGCTTATGCTTTTAGCTAGATGTGTTTTTAATGTAATTGGAAACCATGAAGAGTTTACACATTATTGATAACCCATTTTTTTCTTCTTAAATTTTAGTTCAAATAAGGCTGCCAATGAAAACAGGGTCTCGTATCTCTGTAGTAGCTTCAATCCTAAGAATCCTTAAGGTTTTCTGAATTGATACACACAGCATATATTTAGAAGCTGCAGAAATCAGGCCAGCAGAACAAAATATTCTCTATAAGGTTCCAGAGAAGAATGGAAAGTATCTGATATATTTGCTCCTTATACAGCTCCAATCATAAAATGAATACTTTATTTAATCCTTACCACAGCCTATGAAGTACTATTAATATCCTTACGAGGAAATTGAGGCTTACAGAAGCCATAAAAATAGTATACAGAAAAGCTGAGCTGTAATGCCGTATCTGTCTTTCTCTTGCTTATATTTCTTAAAAGGGATGACTAGAAAGCTAAAATAACTACACATTAAATTTAGTTGCTTTGATACCAAAATGGTACCCAATTTGTCCCTATTTGTCAAGCAGTGGCCACTAGAAAATCTTAAATGACAAGCTAAGGAATTTAGATTTATGTTCACTTGTTCATTCATTCATACATAATATATTTAATGAGTACCTTTTATATGCTAGATATTTCTAAAAATAGTAACTAATTAAACATTTCATTTTACTTTGAAACAACCCACTGCAGCTTAGTAAGGTAAATAAATTGGTCCAAATTGGTACCGGTGGGGCCAGGAAACAAATGGAGTCCTTTCACCAAAACTCATGCAATTTCCTTTATCAAAGAGATAAAAAGTAAACACAAAATATGCTAAAGGTTGGTAAGTGTTTGGAGGAGGCTCACAGGAACTCTTAGAAAGGTTACCTACTTGGTCAAGGCTGTAAGTAGGGCTGGGAAGGAAGGAATAAAGAGGAATGGGTCAGGAAAAGTTCTTAGAAGAAGGTAATACTTCAGCTAAGGAGCAGGAGTTAATCTGGCAGAGGAAGGATGGAAGAGTGTTTATGACAAAGGGAACAGCATGTGTAAAAGGAAAATCAAGTACGAGAATACAGAATACTTCATTTAATCCTCATAATGACCAATGTGAACACAAATACAGAGGTATCTGAGAGACTCAAAGTGTAAAAGTTCAAAATGGTTAAAGTGTCATGTATGTATTAGAATATACGAAGGGATAGACAGAGCAGTGGGCTCGAAATAGGGCTTTACCTATCTTAATGGACTTTACCTATCAAGTTAGAGAATATCCAAAAGGTCCTAGGATGCCTTTTCAACCTAACAAATTAAATGTGTACTTTAGGAGAACGACAGCATTATGAGGGGCAGATCCGGAAGGGAAAGCTTCTGTGAACAAGAGGATGAAGGAGTGGCGTGGAAGGGATGAATCACAGAACAATTTCAAAGGGAGAGATGACAGGGCCTGCTAGAACAGAAATGGTTAAGGGGCAAAAAAAGGAATGGGAATAAAGATTACTCCAAAATTCTGAAGTTGGGTGAATACAAGATTATCATGTCAATAAAAGAAATGGAAACACCTGCAATAAAGCAGGTTAGTTGGATTTTAGATATGTTGCTTCAAGATTCAAGGCTTTTATACTGCTAGAAATATTTTTCTAAAAATTATCTTTATCTCACTTTTTAAAAAAACTTTAACTTAGTTGTATCCAGAAAATGACAAGTTTATTGGGCTACTATTTATACCTAGACACATTAAAATCATATTGTAATCCTTAAAATAAAGATTACCCATGTATCAGCTAACATTTTGCACATACTGCAAATGTTACACTGCCTCTTGTTTCTAAGATTTGTTCATTTTACTTGGGGTGGAGAGAGAAAAATTAGAGTTTTGATGAAAAAAGTCTTTTTTTCCCTGGGGCCTAAAAGGTTGCAGGCTGGAGTAACAGACACTAGAATTAACTTTACAATCATGTTCACAATGAATTTATTTGAGTCCGTGTCTTTGTTTTTAGATTTTGAAATAAAAGTTTATATGGCCATTTTTCATTAAATATATATAGACTGACTATAAATATGTCCACAGGAAGTCTCCCAAGTCATAGCACTTATGTTCCAGGAATTGCAGTGTAAGTCAAATCAGTCTTTCCCACAGAAGAGGTGTCCTAGCCAGGAGGCTGTTCTAAAGTATTTAATTCATTGTAAGGGATGGAGGCACATGCTACCTAACATAGAACTTGGCAGAGTACATATGTCAAACAAGTCAAGTTAGTTAAGAAACTTCTCAGAGAATAACTGTGAAGACAGGAGATGAGGTTTTGATGCTCTAAAAGAAGTTCTCCTAAGACCAGAAAAAAAAATACAGTTGACCCTTGAACAACACAGGGGTTGGGGTGCTGACCCTCTGCACAGTTGCAAAGCTGGGTATAACTTTTTACTAATAGCCTACTGTTGACTGGAAGCCTTACTAAGACCATAACTAGCAAAGTAACACATATTTTGTATGTTATCTGTATTATAACTGTATTCATACAATAAAGTAAGCTAGAGAAAATAAAATTTTTTCAAATTCTCACCAATTTTCTGAATTCTCACAAAATCTCCAAAAATTTTTCCAATATATTTATTGAAAAAAATCAATGTATAAGTGGACCTGAACAGTTTAGTTTAAACCCATGTTGTTCAAAGTTAGCTGTATATTCTCCACTCCACTGGGAGAGAAGCATCCATGAGTAGGGACAGAAGCAGTAAGATATTACATGTCAAAGCATCTAAGAGAACAATGACTCTGGCGTAAGCTGAATAGACATGAATTAAATGGGAATGTAGTAGACTGCCTCACCCCCTCCCTCACTACAAATATCTTGACCATCCTCACATATCACTAGCCCGATACAGAATGGTAATGGGAGAAAATTCCACGGGTAACTTATGAAAAGGGTTACAGAATTTATTATTCTATATAACTACAGGCTAGTCAAGTAACACTAATTTATCGTTTGACAAATGGGCTAGTAAAGTCAAACACAATTCAATACTAAGAAAGGTAATATGATTTGTCTGGAGGAAAGAAACTGTGCTAGGAAATATACATTAAATGGAATAATCAACATATTGATCAAAGAAAAGGATATAGAAATTATTCTGGCAAAAAAGAAAATCAATGGAACCATTTAAGCAGAACAGGACTGCAGTGAAAAAAATAACAGTGAACCTGATGGAAGCAGAATAAGCTGTCAAAACTATTTATACCTAGACACATTAAAATCATATTGTAATCCTTAAAATAAAGATTACCCATGTATCAGCTAACATTTTGCACATACTGCAAATGTTACACTGCCTCTTGTTTCTAAGATTTGTTCATTTTACTTGGGGTGGAGAGAGAAAAATTAGAGTTTTGATGAAAAAAGTCTTTTTTTCCCTGGGGCCTAAAAGGTTGCAGGCTGGAGTAACAGACACTAGAATTAACTTTACAATCATGTTCACAATGAATTTATTTGAGTCCGTGTCTTTGTTTTTAGATTTTGAAATAAAAGTTTATATGGCCATTTTTCATTAAATATATATAGACTGACTATAAATATGTCCACAGGAAGTCTCCCAAGTCATAGCACTTATGTTCCAGGAATTGCAGTGTAAGTCAAATCAGTCTTTCCCACAGAAGAGGTGTCCTAGTCAGGAGGCTGTTCTAAAGTATTTAATTCATTGTAAGGGATGGAGGCACATGCTACCTAACATAGAACTTGGCAGAGTACATATGTCAAACAAGTCAAGTTAGTTAAGAAACTTCTCAGAGAATAACTGTGAAGACAGGAGATGAGGTTTTGATGCTCTAAAAGGAGTTCTCCTAAGACCAGAAAAAAAAATACAGTTGACCCTTGAACAACACAGGGGTTGGGGTGCTGACCCTCTGCACAGTTGCAAAGCTGGGTATAACTTTTTACTAATAGCCTACTGTTGACTGGAAGCCTTACTAAGACCATAACTAGCAAAGTAACACATATTTTGTATGTTATCTGTATTATAACTGTATTCATACAATAAAGTAAGCTAGAGAAAATAAAATTTTTTCAAATTCTCACAAATCTCCAAAAATTTTTCCAATATATTTATTGAAAAAAATCAATGTATAAGTGGACCTGAACAGTTTAGTTTAAACCCATGTTGTTCAAAGTTAGCTGTATATTCTCCACTCCACTGGGAGAGAAGCATCGATGAGTAGGGACAGAAGCAGTAAGATATTACATGTCAAAGCATCTAAGAGAACAATGACTCTGGCGTAAGCTGAATAGACATGAATTAAATGGGAATGTAGTAGACTGCCTCACCCCCTCCCTCACTACAAATATCTTGACCATCCTCACATATCACTAGCCCGATACAGAATGGTAATGGGAGAAAATTCCACGGGTAACTTATGAAAAGGGTTACAGAATTTATTATTCTATATAACTACAGGCTAGTCAAGTAACACTTGCAGTTAAAAAAAAAAGACTAATTTATCGTTTGACAAATGGGCTAGTAAAGTCAAACACAATTCAATACTAAGAAAGGTAATATGATTTGTCTGGAGGAAAGAAACTGTGCTAGGAAATATACATTAAATGGAATAATCAACATATTGATCAAAGAAAAGGATATAGAAATTATTCTGGCAAAAAAGAAAATCAATGGAACCATTTACGCAGAACAGGACTGCAGTGAAAAAAATAACAGTGAACCTGATGGAAGCAGAATAAGCTGTCAAAAGGACTGACTGTGAGACTGAACTATTAAACTACTAAAATCAATAAAATGAGAAAACCATGCCACAGGGAATCAGTCACTGAAAAAGAGAACATAGAAAGAGAAAAAAATAAAACATAAATTTATGAGGCAAAGTGACTTAAAGAATAGAAACTGAAGTCCTTTAAGAAACTTTCATTAGTTGAAGTTTTTTCTTTGAATTAGGGTCTTCGGTTTATTAAGCAAAATGTGTGAAATTTTAATTATTGTGGATATGATTTGGGAAGAAAGGAATATGGCTTTAGCAGAGGGTAATGCTTTTAAAACCTTTAACACCTTCAGGGAGACACATGGGGAAAAGATTTAACTGTTTAGGATATTCTTGTAAGAAAGGTCCAAACTAGAGGATGAATCAATGGTAGGCGAAGCTTAAAGGAAAAGGACATTATAGTAGTCTATCAAGTCGTTACCATCAGGCAGAGGACACAGCTGAAGCTTCATTAAAGTGTATTTTAAAAACTGGCACAGAAGCACAGTGTGACTGGGAATTACAACTATCTGGACATTTGAAGGTATTACTGTATTTTCAGGTAAGGGAAGTGACAGGTTAAATGCCTTACCCAATATTAAACAGCTAGTAAGAGGGAAAAAGTAATCAGAATCAAGGTCTTTTTTTAGTTCAGTGTTATTTCTACTCAATTGCTTGGTCATTAAGAGCATTAAACTACAATAAGTAATAGATTAAAAAAACAAGAAAGACATCTGAAAATCTTAACAGTTATAATTGATATGAAAAAGACCAAGTGTTTTTAATTCACTCCACATTGACTAATAAGTCTATGAAGAAACCAGAATGGGGCAAAGAGGCCAGTGAAGAATTTGGAAACTATGTCTATGTAAAGAATAATTGAAAAAAGGTATCTTTATCCTTTTTCCTACAAAATAGGAGAAACTTTGTAGGGGTGGGTGGTTGGAAGGTAAGTCCATGCTAAGCTGACCAGGTTTTAGAAATGTATGAAGGGCTGTATTATGTTACAGTGAGTCGAATGGTGGCCCTCAAAAACATATGTCCATGTTCTAATCCCCAAAACTTGTGAAGCACCTTATTTGAAAACCTTTTTAAAAAATTATCTTTGCATATGTAATTATGTGAAGGATCTGAGATGAGGAGATCACCTAGGATTATAAGGGTAAGCCTTAAATTCAATGCCAAGTGTCTATAAAAGGCACAACAGAAGAGAGGATATACAGAGAAGGTCAAGATGGAAGCAGAGACTGGAGGGATGTGGCCACAAGACAAAAGGGCCTAGAAGCCAGCAAAGGCACGGAACAGATTCTCCCCTAGAGCCTCTGTTTAGGCCTCCAGAACTGTCAGGGAATAAATTTCTGTTGTTTATTAAGCCACCAAGTTTGTGTTAACTTGTGGAAGCCCTATGAAATAAATACATATGTAAACTAGAGATATTTCTGTGCAAAACAGGGTAAATGTAAACATAAGATTTGTGAAATATACAAGAGAACATATTTGGGCATGCTTCAAAGTATAAGCATTTTAATTTATTTGCCCAAACTGAAACAAGTTATCTTCCCACATGCATGTTAAAAGGATAATTCCTACATTTGGGGGAGTGACTCAATAATCTCTAAAGATCTTCCCATTCTAAGAGTATATGTATAGCAATAACAGTCAATACACACTCAGGAAGTTATTCAGTATTTAACACAGACCATAGCAATAAAATCATACACTAATAAATTCAAAACTCATTATTCCATATAAGAACTCATATATTTCATATAATGAAAATTGCAAGGATCTTAATTCGTAAATACCCTAATACATCTTTACAGACATTTATGATATATCTAAAAATAGAATGGATCTATAAGTGTCTCACCAAGTTTTGGTTCAATATTATTTTAGACTCCAACTTGACAATGGAAGCTTGACAAAGCGGCAATTTAAATAAGGTACACTTGTCCAAGAATTACTTTGCTTTCCTATTTAATGGACAAATGTTTTGTGAAGATTCTGCTAAGTTACTATAAAAATTTCTCATTGGTTTTAAGTGGAGACTAGTTACATCAGTTATTAAATGAGATAAGTTGCCAACACTTTTTGGAAACAAATAATGAAGGAGGATTTTGGAAACATTTTTTTGAGGTGGTTTTGTGGCCTGAATTTTGACATGTAATAAAACATAGAAAGCAAGATTGCTTAGAAAGATCTAACAATATAACAAAGATTCCCATCATCTGTTAGACAATTTGGGGAGAAATACAAAATACTAGATTTCCCTGTCTTCTTTAGAAATTTGTTGTGAGTTTTAAAATGATCATTAAGCAAAAAAGAAATGAGTGGCAATTAATGATTCTTAATATTTAATAAAAAGTCAACTATATACGAGAGCTTACCTGTTCTGTTTCAAAGATGTCCCGAAGGTGTTCAAGACCAAGGCTTTTTAGGAACTGGCTGATATTCATGTCAAGACCCGTAACTAAAACAGACATATTTTAAAGTTCTCAGAGAGAAGTTGACCTATCTAAAGGAAATAACAGTATTTATTTAAAGCTATGGCTCTCTGATACCTCTGGCTGTACAGATGATTTTACAGACTTTTCAAGTTATGTCTGGATTTGGTGGAGAAGTGAAGGCAGAGTTTATCTTTTTTTCATCAGGAGTATTTATGTATATAATTTTAACATGATAAGGCATAATCTAATGCCTTTAATGAAATATTTAAGTTGGATTTAAATCCAAACTTCCACCTATTCTTTCAGTTTTCATTCCTTAAATAAGTTTTTAAAAAAATATAATTTCAGTAATACGACTCACTCAGTACTTCACTAAGATACTATAGTTGGAAGTTGACACACTGGAATACGTGTAAGAAGAACATAGATGCCAAAGAATTTATTCTATGAAGATGTATTTCTTATAAACTGTTGTGTATATGAAAACCTACAGACTGGATGTTTTCAAGTGAGGTGTCTAATAATCACCAATAGAATAAAGTGAATTTGTTCATTCAAAAGCCAAAAACCAAATAAACATTCACAAGTATACTCGCCTTCTCCTTCCTTCCTTTCTGCACCCGCTGCGCCATCCCCCGTGTTGGACGCTCCTCCTACCGCCAAATCCGCTAACGGGCCCGTGAGGTTATCTATGCTGCTCGCAGCGGACAGGCAGGATGGGGTGGATGCTGGTGAGATCAGAGAGGCACTCACTACAGTGGCCTGAGGCTTAAAACAGGTAGGTAAGGCCTCTGGAGGCATGGCATCTATCAGCAAAGCTCTGATATCATCAGCCTGAAAATAGTAACACAAAAACACAACAAGAATATTATGTTTTAAAATAGTTAAGCTTTTCACTGAGGACCAAGTACTTCGTGAAGATGTTCTGTAATGGATGCTCCATAATTCTCCATTGGGTTGATCATTATTCATCCCTCCTTCCCTCTCTAATCTGTACCTACCAAAGTCCCAGTAGTTTCAGAAGGTAGAATTGGACAAACTATGCAATTTTTAAAAAAACATTTCCTCTTTTGAAGACCTAATGTACAGCTTGGCGACTCTAGTTAATAATACTCTATTATATGCTTAAAATTTGCTGACAGTTGATCTTAAGTGTTCTTGCCACACATATACGTACACACACAGAAAAGTTAACCATGAAAAAAAAACCCCAATAGCCTAAGAATGTGGACTATGTTTACACTGAATTAATTAGCATGAACAATTGTGTACGATGTACACAATTGTTCATACTAATGACACATGTATTTAAAAGATATGTAAGTTAATAAAGACCTGAATAGGGTTTTAAAAAATATTCATCTTTCATTTAAAGAAAGAGCACATGTCAGAGTGCTGGTTGTCAATCACTTCCTTCCAAGGAGTTTCCATATTTACCAAGTTTTGTTTCTGCTTAAACAGTTACAATAATTGTTCAGTTATTTAGTGTGCACTCAACAATTTAACATATAGTTAAAATCTGGTGAAATTTTGGCTAGCTTATTCATGAAGTGTACAGCTCATGAGGCCTAATGGAGCATGGAGAGATCACCTCCAAAGAACAGCCAGCCATTGATTCCTTCCTCTTGTACACGCATGCTGCTCCTCCCAGTAAAGAGGTGGCATCTGTTTCCCTTCCCTTGAATCTGGGTTGCCCTCTGAGTCACTGTGACCACAGAATGTGACAATTAGGAAGTGATGTTCCGAGGCTTTTAAGCCAGGCTGTTAAAGGGCTGGCGGCTTCTACTTCTTTTTTAGAATAAAGAAATAAAGAAGTTTGGGCTAGACGCCTGAGTGATGACACTTCACGGAGAGGCCCTGCAGGCTGAACAGCCATCCTGGACGTTGCCGCCTTAGCTGAGCTCCCAGCAGAGGTTGCCACAAAAACAGCAGCAGTGTCCTGCCAAAACCAGTCAGCCCACAGAACTGTGGGAAATAATTAATCATTGTATTATATTAAAGCCACTCACTTGGTTTTGGTTAAGCTACTGTTTTGAAATTGTGACTTAGACTAAACATATGAAAGAGACTGTGGCTTGAAAAAATATTTCTGATTAAAAAATTGTAAATTGTTGTGACCATATAACTCTCCAATTTCTAGAAAGTTCAGGGAAGATGATACTGTTTAATTTTGCAGTTGAATATTTAGCCACAGAAGTTTAATTCTGGGTTTTGAAAATACTTCTGTAGTATATCAATTTACTATTCTATTTTCAGAAGAATAATGTACTACCTATAAGTTAATTTTCTTCTGATTATCTTGCAGCCTCAAGTAAATTATTATGAACATCTGTTGCTCTAGAATATGCCAAATGTAGGTGTAAGATATTTTACTGAACATAATTCTCTGAGGATAAACTCTAAATGTGTTTTCCCGATTAATGTTTTCCCTCCAAGTTAAGTATGGCAAAAAGAATTAGTTAACTTTCTGCTTAGTTTGCCCTAAAAGATTTTAAATTACATAAAATATGCAAACTTAAAACAATTTCAGAAAGATATGTTCTTAGTCTAAGTGCAATACACACCACTGAAGGTACCCTGCTGAGCCCTGGAATTTCCCATCATCTTGATGTTTAAAAGCAGTAAAAAATATTTTGAAAGGCTGACTTACTGTTGCCAGATCTAAAGGTGTCTGACCCTCTTGGTTCTTCATGGTTGGGTCTGCACCATGTGCCAGGAGTAGAGCACATAACTGTGTCCTTCCTTTTTGGGCTGCTTCATGAAGAGGGGTAAATGCCCACTTATCTGTTGCATTCACACATGTGTTATATTTTATCAATAATGCTGCTATGTCCACATGCTAAAGAAAAACAAAAGGATGCAAAGAGTGAAGAATGAGATTGCCTGGCAACGCTCATCAAGAACACTTGTTTTCATTTAACATTTCATTCTCTCTGTACCTCTATTCTCATCCTTAACAGAAATGTCTTCCATAAAAAAAGAATATTTATCCTACCCCTCTACCATCTTTTCTTGCTTCCTCCAAAATCTCAATTCCACAGTTATTCTTTAGCCCTTCAAGGGCACTTTTAAAATTTTTTATTCAGCCTTCTAACCTCAGGACTATCTTAAACATGAACACATAAAGTCAAACTGTTAGCTGACTCCAAGTCTCCTAATAATGGTCTAATCTGCCAAACTTTTCAAACAAGCATTCTACACCCACTGCTTCTCTTATCCGATCCACTTATTGAAACACCCATCTCAAAGATTCTCAATTTTCTTTCTTCAGCCCGTGGAAAGTAACATAACTTAACAAGACAACATTTTACAAAACTCAGTCTGCCATGGAGAGGAAAAGTCAGCAGCACACACATTCACTAATAACCAGGCATAAAGTGATGAGATCCTCAACTGTGGTCAGAGAAGAATGAAAAAGAAGAGCTGAATCTGAGAGATTTTGAAGGAAAAAAGACTGAATTTTAGAAAGTAAATTAGCCACAGAGGAAGAGAGAAAAGTCAAAGAGACTATCTTTTATTCTTTTTAATTTGGTCTAGAAGATTAGAAAACATAGGTGGGAGCATTAACAGAAGCTGAGTGGCGAAGTTTAAGTAGGAATGAAACTGTAAGATATGGTTCACTGGGTACGTAGTTTTTAGGTAAAATATCAAAGTAATGATGCTCTATAAATGGTCTGACTCACAAGGGTGGAGCACGGATAAGAGGACATTGTTTACGTATACTCACTCACTTTCTCTTACCCACTCCCCACCAAGCACACCTTTGCTGGACACCTACCTAAGTGCCTGGCACTGGGGAAGGAGCTTTAGGGGGATTACAAAGTAGAATACTGAGCTGCCAGCTGTAGCTACTTGACAAATGAGCTCACTAAGAAAGGAACACAGAGAGATAATCACAAGGGGCATACAGCCTTGAGAACGACCATATTTGAGGAAGGAGAGCAGAAGGGCCCTCGGAAGAGACAAAGGAGCACTAGGAACTGTAGGAGAAACGGGAAGCAGCAGGGCTTTGAAGGTGAAAGACAAGGTAGGAGAGTTCAAAGAGAGCAGGGTCTTTATATAGCAAAAGGTTTCAGCTTCATCCCCAAAGTCCTTATAAAAATAAGTTCAGGACCATCAATTATGCACAGGTAATAAGGATTCAATGACTAGATTTTTAGGAATAACAAAAATAATTTTCATCTTATAAAGACACTTCAGGATGCTAGTTTGGTTACCACTAAAGTATTTCTGAAATCCGTTTTGACTCCAGTATTTTATAATTTTGTGCAATTGATACATTTGTGTTCTTAATCGATATATTTCCTTGGAATAACTTGATCATTTTGAGAATTAACTCAGAAGCACATTATCTGTTGAGAACAGATTTCTAACTCAAGCTGTTGCCCAACTGCAATATACTAAGTTATTTGAAGCTGACTTTTGTGAGAATGGGAAGATGGGGAAGGAAAGATAAAGTACCCCAAGATGGGATTTGGGCATGTTTCTTCATATTTTCCTTAAGATGGCCTTTGCTGCCATGAAGACATTCACTTCAAAATGAACAGGCACTTTTTCTGAGGTAGTATTAAAGTTTTTTTAAATGTAATACAAATATTTGTTGATTTTAGAATTTCGGAAGACAAAGAGAAGAAAATTAATGAGGGAAATACAAATCAGACAACTTGTAAGGAAGCTTCAGATTTGCTCTGACAAAATATAATATAAATATAAAGACAAAAATATAAAAAAGGAATGTAACCCAACCAGGGCTCCTGAGAATAGGCTGTGTTTTCTGATCTTTTTGGATTATGAATGATATATCAGCATTATAGAATTTATTCTAACACAAAAGATACAAATAGTTACCATCTGTGGTACTGTCAAAATCGCTTAAAACAAAACAAGACCCAGTAATTTATCTACCTAATTCAAAGGATATATGCTGAAAAGGATGGCTGTTTTTGTCTCCCCTGTGAGATTACAGGGTGTTTTAACTATGTTTCTGATGATTAATTTTATTCTCTTCCTATATGTATTGGCAGAGTAATCTAATTTGGTAGTCTTATTTGCATAGGCTTTCAAAAATACATAGTCCAAGGAAAACTGTGCGTGTATGTGTATGTAAAATGAATTGCACATATGATATGTACTATTAAATTTTTATTACTGAATTTATAGTTTATACTCGGTGAAACCAAAAACGTGCGTTAAATTTGCTGACAAGCATGTGAAAGAGCAATAAACAGGAAGGAATATATTACTACCAAGGAGAATAAAAAACAATCCTTAAATCTTTTTAAAATAGCTGCACCACTGGGGCAAAAAATAGTAAGTGAAATTTCAGGCTGACAAATGCACGGAGTAAACTACAGCTCAGTTCTATACAATACACAAGGGCAGGTATTAACCGGAGGGTCTAGGAAAGGAACTGAATGCTGCTGGAATGTTTCCAGGAGAAAGAGTCTGTTTAACATGGTTTCAGAATTCAGTTGCAACACAAAATGCTTTGTGACATATACAACATAAAAAAGGCCGCAAGGGCCTTAATTTCATTTTAGAAAGCTGGGAGTAGGGGGGAGAGAAATGTGCTTGGGCTCCAGTTAGAGGCATTTAATTGTACAACAATGTCATGAAATTCCCCCAGTGAATACAGTTTAGAGAAAGCATGTAAAATGAAAAAGCTGCGAGGAAACTCAGCAAATTGATTTACTCTTATGAGATAACAGAAAATTACATGCTTTGTGGTAAATATATATCAATGCTTATATTTACTCAGTAACAGGAAAATTAACTGTCTTGTGCAAATGTATATTAAAAAATATTATAAGGCATTACAATACAAAAACAACAGATAGGATAACACACATGACCATTAACAAAAACTCCCATAAAATCTTTTATTTAAGCTTCTAGAACTATGAGTTTGTTTCTCCATTTGGAAAAACAGGGGCAAGGCCCAAAGACCCACAGAGAACAAGCAGACTGAGCTCTTCAGAGGAAAAAAGGTAAGCATGCACCAAAGAACAACCACTAATAAATAAGAATGTAGGTGACTTTGGGCAACTTCATAGGTATCTCACATGATTATTTTATCCCCAGGCTGGTGGGATAAAATGGGATATTTTATCCCCAGGCTCTTAAGGATGGGATGAACCAGTTTGAGCAAACCTACTACTGGAGTCGATCTGTGTTTATTTCATACTGATGTTGAGCTCATCAACTGCCCAGATTATCCCCGTGGCTGTGAGAGGCAAGAGGACACATAGCCCTTATTCTAGTGGCTCAGAGTGAGGGCCGAAGGGAGCGAGTGGTCTTATAATCACAGTATTACCTTGGATTTTTACAGTGCCTCAGGACAGAGAATGCACTTCCACATGAATGGTCTCCTCTAATTACCGCATGACCCTGTCAAGAAGGTCTGAGCATCCAAGTCTCATTAACGAGAGGACTGAAGATGAGAAGGAGTAAGGCACTTGCCGAAGACTACTGGGTGCTATGGGGAAGACCAAAGACTAGATGACCGATGCTGAGATCCCAAAGTCAGCTCTTTCCATCACACCACACCTGCCTGCAGGGTCTTGCTAGACTGAAATACAAGAGTTGTTTCCTGACAAGTTGAAAATGGCGCAGTATGGTATTTAAAGAGAGAATCCCTTTAGGTAGAGATCACTGGGTAACACTATACCGTAACCTACTCTACAAAGAACTTCATTTTTAATATAGAAACCTCGATTCCACAGGAAGTGCTGCAAAAATCTCTTCCACAAAACCACTACTTGAGAGCAGTGCATCGTATATCCATGCAGTCCGGTCAGTTGAAGCAGCACAGGGATGAAACCAATATAACCAGTGTCTCGCCGCCTAGCGGAGAAATGTGAACCAGGGCCCTAAGATTTCATTAAACTATCCAGCCAAGGCTCATGTGTAATGTAAATAAAAGGGTACTTTCAAAATATACAGAGATTCATTTATCTAAAAGGTAATAAAAATACAATTATATCTGCCTTTTTAGTTAAAGGAAGACAAAGTAGCTTTTACAAGTTTTTTTATTGTGGTTAACATTGGCCCTTATTTTAATACTGGTACTGACTGAGACTGAGATAAATAGTAACCTGATACAGTTGCTGATAATAGATTATACGGCATACAAGGATTTTAGTGACCAAAAAAATCTACCTGCACAATGAGGTAAAAATACCTACTACAGACACATTATCCAGCTCATTAGCACTTCCTCAGAAGGATGGGATGAACCAGTTTGAGCAAACCTCTATCAAATGCCCTCTACACAGCCTGAAGAATTTTCTGCCCACTTTCACCTCAGTTAGTTACCTTCATTCACAAAGAGCTTAGCAGTAAGGATGTGACAACAAATAAGGTAACACAAAAAGAGAGAAGGAAACAGAAAACATTCATGATTTTCTCACTTGGAGCTAGGAGAGGAGAGCAGGGGTTGTGCAGAATGGTGCAACAGGCCTATGAAAATGGAGCAGTGGGCCCCTGGTCAGGAGACTGACTGTATTACGCCTCCCTTCAGCTCATGGCAAAGACAGCTTCAAGGGAACATGAAATAAGACAAGGTCGACCTGAACTCCACATTACTACTTAGCCACAAAAGAGAACCACTAGACATTTTATTTCTCTTGCACTGGTCACCAAATGACATATATGCATTGTAAGTAACATGTCAACACTGTTCCCATCGGGAGAATGGGCTAAAGAGTAAAATACTTACTTTATAAATTAAACTTTACTTCCTTTACCCTCTGTGACAACCACTAAGACTGTGAAAGGAAAAGCCAGATGGGACAGAACTTTTCCACATAAACAATGTATGGGATATATTGAAAAACACATATATCCATATAGTCTACAAAGTTGTTAGCATAAGTTTTATGAGATCAGGTCAAGAACTGTAATTCTATTGCCCACACCTAACCTTACTCATTATTAGATTTATAGAGAAGTTAAAAGACTGACAGAAGTTGTACCAAGCCTTTCAGCTTTATAAACTCTTAATGGCAGCTTAGCAAAGGACTTGGTGAAATGCAATATGGAGAGAAGGATCATGCTAAGAAGTGAACATTCATCTCTAAATTATATGTATTTATAGTTATAACTCAAAGGTAAAAGGATTATGTGTAATATATATATGTAGTATGTTGGCAGTAAATATTTTGTAGGCTGGAGTTTCAGCAGAAATGTATGTCATTCAGTGAAACTGAGACTCTTATATGAAGAAAGGTTAAAAGAAAATTCTAACACCTATAATAAAAGATTAATCATCTTTGGAAAGATAACTTTAGATACTGAGTTTCAAGAGGATTTCAGTAGTCATACATTTATTAAACCTGTTAACTTTCAATTACATTATGTCACACTTGGAAGTTTAATTTTCTTTTCTGTTTGTCTAACTTAAAACTGGTTATTTACTTTCCTTACAAATATTTCCTTCATATTTGTCATTTCCCTGAAATACGGTCTTTGCAGAGGGGCAAAAGAAGAGGAGGGTATTCTCATTATGAAGGGCAAGGGAGAAGAGAGTAAGAGAACAGAGAAATCACGTGATTAGCTGTTCCGTACACCTTGCCAGGCCTTTTGCAAACCCAGAAACTGTCCTCATCCCTAGTGATTCCAACTATGAAAACCTGGCATGTACAGTCTGGCATCTTGTATTTTTACAGTCCAAGAGGCATTAAGTGGATGAACAGACAAGCACATGAGCACACCCATTATTCCTATTCATTAGGCCTGAAGTGGGCCTTGGTGACTTCCAGGCAGTCAGTTCCAACAAATGTCACCAAGGCTCTGCAATACATCCTGTTCCTCTTCCTGCATCAGCAGATAGTTACAGTTAGAGGGCCTTGACAGAAGGACTCTGGGCCTTCACTGTGGGGTCTGAGCTAGTTATCCAAATCATATATACTAAGAGCTCACTTACTTGGATATTTTGATAAACATAAACACGCATGGTTTCCGTTCCTATTACGGAGCTTCCTGGCTTTTAAATAGTTTCTAAAATTTACCTGAGATAGAGTTAAGATTTATTATCTATAGCAATAAATATTAACTGAGAAGCTCTTACATATGTATTATTGTGCTACGTAATGGGAAGACACCAAAAAGCTGTAAAAAGCGTGGTTCTTGGCCAAGATAGTTAAGCTGAAGTGGGAAGAATAGAAACTCTGAACAGTAAGATTAAAACTGTGCTAAATTGTGCGATTGGTTAGATATCTACTTACTTCATGCACACTATGTGTTTAATAAAGTAGCAAATGTCGGTGAAGTTTTCTAGACTTAAACTTTAGCATGCTCACCCCATAGGATGCTGCATTATGGAGAGGAATTAAACCACCTTTGTCTTGGGCATTAACATCTGCTCCGTGTTCTAGAAGATACTCAGCTACTTCCAAGTTATTGTAGCCCGCTATTAGAGTGAAAAAAGGCAAACATGTCAGCTTTAAAGAAAAAAAAATGTGTGTATAAATAATAATGACTGGAAATTGTTAGTTTTAATACTTTCTGCTTTAAAAGCTAATGCAATTATCACATGATTAAGAGCCTTTACAATAAGAAATTATATAAAATTTTCTCAGTATACTTAGCATTTTGCTAAGTAAGAAGCACTCTTCATGCTCAGCATTTCTTTCATTTTCTGGTAATCTGGTATCCAAGAAAGGAGCGTGGGCCTTGGAAGTGCTGGTGACACTAACCTGCCAAGTGCAGAGGGGTGGAGTTTCTGCCCTGCGTGTCTCTGCAGTTGATATTCTCTGGGGTACAGAGCTTCTGCACTCTTGCCAGGCAGCCCTTCTTGGCAGCATCCAACAGGGCAGCATCTCCTCTCAGTAAGTCCTGAATATCTGTGTCTCCTTCTTTTACCAAATCTAAAGGTGTATTTCCATCTCTGTTCTTTTTAGTTGGATCTGCTCCATGCTACAAAAAAAACAAAAACACCCCCAAGAGGGTTTGTATTTTCTGTAATATCTTTCCAAAGGTTGGTTTAACTTCACCTCCATTCATCCAAGGAAAGATATCTATTCTTATATGCATTTTGAAAAACAGAGGCAATATCCTGTTTTATTTTGCAAATATCCTACTTAAAATTTGGATCAGCTTTCTAACTACCTCTCAACCAAACCCCCAACTATCAGGATAGATGGTGATGGTTCAGTGGGAAAGGTTTTGAGTGTACATTTTACTTTTCCTATTGTGTATTTTCTCAGGCTCCAATCTGTCTTTGGAAACCTTTTTTTTCTTTTAAGAATGGCCCAGATGTTCATTCTGACCAGATTTCAATTACATAAAGATATTCAGTATATATCATGAAAAACAAGTGATAGGATGAAGACACACAGGTGGAAAAATACTTACTTCTAATAGCAATCAATAAGAAAAAACTTTAGTCATTTAATCAATATTTTCATTTTAAGTCCTAACACCTACCATGAAATTAGATGAAATGTATTAACAATTAATGTAATGAAGTACATTAAAGTCAAGAATCTTTACCAAAGGCCTCACATAGACTGCTACTGGCCCTCTGGAGAAATCTGGAATAAACCAAGCTGGACAATGAATTCACAGTGACCTGGAAGTTATTTCTTACCAACCAGTAATAATAAAGACGAGTATCAACTATAGTGTTATTCTCAAAACTCATAAGGATGTAAATACCATAAAACTGGTGGGAAAAGAATTTTATTTATATTTTCAGGTTGAATGAATGGAAGAAGGAAGGAACTACATAAATACATGTCCAGTCATTTTTCACACCCTTTAATTTAAAAAGAACACAAAATTATTAAGTTAGTTTCATATAACTACTAGTTTCTACTATATAATGTATATCCCCCCAAATTTATACGAATAACTTTTTTTAGAGATTACCTTATAGCTTAATAAAAACCTAATATTGAAATAAAGTTTTTACAAGACATATATGTTTAAATAATGTTTAACAATGAGGAATGAGTTTGTTAACAATAATAAAATGGCCAGCAAGGAAAAAAAAAATCAGACTTGATAGAAAAACTTGTTTCTCCTTGTACAAATGTTGTCTGAAGTTAATACTGTGTTAGTTAGATAAGCAATGCAAATTAATTCAACTCTTTCCAAAACCAAAACCTACCCTGATGAACTGTGATGAACTGAACTTAATCAAATCAATTCAGAAAGGCACTTCAGATACTACTCAAAGCTATGTAAGTACACCACACTTAAACATCCCCCTAAAATAGAAAATGGAAGCCGTCTCTATAGCACTTATCACAGTTAACAGAATAATTTACTTTGATGTGATTTTATGTAGCGACAAAAAATAAATATAATTATTTTATATTTTATAATTTTTAAAATTACATACTTTTAAAAGGAGCTTGCAGATTTCATATTTTCCTTTAGCTGCTGCTTCATGTAGAGGGGTGAATTTCCATAAGTCCGCCACATTGACAGAAGCCCCATGCCTTACTAAAAGCTCAGCTACTTCATAGTGTCCATACGAACAAGCGTTATGAAGGGGCACCAAGCCACTAAACAAAAGAAAATCATCTTAAAGACATATAACAGATCTTTGCATTAAAATGATATTTGACTTCCCCTGGTTTCTTGGTGTTGGATATAAATTCTGCAGCAATCCTTAACCTTAGAATACATATAGATATACCCATAGAAAAAGGTTTCATTCCAAGACATTTAATTCAAACTTCATCCTGGCAATGTAAAGGGCAAGACTATAAAGTGATTTCAAGAATAATTAAACAAAATAATCTGTTTTTATAATTTCTCAGGTTTCCTTCCATTTGGTTTTCGTAATGAAAACTGTACACTTACTTAGAAAATATAAAATATACAATGCAATTTAACTAATTTATTGAAGCAAGTTCTACCTTTGGCTTTCGGATTTTATTTTGAAACTCCAAATAATTCAGTAGTGGTTTTTGTGCATAGGTTCAAATATTCAGGTGCCATGCAATGAAAACTCACAATCCAAGTGATATTGAGGAAAAGAGCAATGTCAATTATAAGTTCTAAATCTGATGAGAAAATCTAGCTGCCTCAACTTATGTACAAACTGTTCTGAGATAACTCTTAGTTCTTATTAGAAGGTAGCCGGCATTCTCAAAGGACAAAAAGATGAACCCATAAAAAAAAGATGCATCAAAAGGATAAGTTTAATTGCACTTAAGGCATGGCAGAAACAAGGTATCAAGTATCTTTTTATTCTGAGAGATCGGTGCTTTTTTTCTAATGTTCTGAGCTCAAAAATACTAAGCACTAACATGGGCAAATGTTGGTGGCTCTCAATGCACTATAAGCTTTTCAAAGGGCTAGTGATATCACTATTGAATATTCATGTCTGATGTGTGCCTTTTAAAAGATAAATAAATCCATAATGGCTAACTGAAGTTTAAGTTGTATGTTAAATCAACAGTACATTTGCTTATTTATATTCTGACATGGTAAGAAATTAACTCAGAATATGGAAACTCCTTTCAATTAAAACTTCCTTCTTACATTTCTAAATATTTTGCATGGTTGCTTTAAACTCTTGTCTAGATAAATTAAAATAATTTAGTGAACTAATAAAAACATAGATTATCTGAATTAGTAAAAATAGAATATTTCTATTACAACTGTTGACTTTGCAAGAGGTTTCTTCTTTTTGAAAGAGATTATACATTTTTAATGGCAAAAAAAGAGATGAATAATATATTCAAGCTATACAAGCACATTTATACAATGCAATGAAGTATTATATACAAGCATTAAACAGATGAGATGAACTAATGAGTCCTGATATGGAAATACATTCAAGATATATGACTGGGTGAAAAAAAAGCAAATGGCAAAGAAGACTGTAAGGAACTGCATCATGATTCCTCTGAAAACCACCACCACCACCACATTTATGTTACACAAAATTTTAATGTTGTCATGTCTAGGATGTAGGGTCATAGGGAATTTTCACTTTCCATACTGTATATTTCTACAGTGTTTTAATTGACACTTTAAACTTTTAAAAAAATGCAATATCTTTTTAACAGGGGAAAACAGGACTTTAAGAATATTTTTAAAAAATTTCTTTAAGTCCCAAGAGAGTGAATCCCAAACAGCTAAACTGTACCACATACCCTTTGTCTTTGGCATGGACATCGGCACCATGATGCAGAAGGTACTCCACGACCGACACACGGTTATAGCCTGCTGCAAAGTGCAAGGGCGTAGAATGGCGGCCCTCCAAATCTCTGCAATTCACATTTTGAGGGCTGCAAAGTTGCTTTAATGGCACAAACACAGAAAGAACATTAATATTTACTCTGATTTTGCTCCAAAATACTGCAGGCATTTTGGAAAAATTAGTTTTCTAATGAATATTTATATCCAAAGATTAGATAATGTAAGTGTGTTTAAAAATCAGCCAGCACTACGCTTGGCTTTATGGTGCCTACAAATATTCTTATACTATTTTACAGAGCAGTTTAATCTTTTTTCAATATTTCCTGGCCAAAATCCTTATCAAAGAGAAAAACCCATAATACAGCGAGCATTTCCAAGGCAAATGATGCCTTTCCTTTCCACCTTTCTAAGGCTTTTTTCTCTGACACAGCGAGTCTGCTCATACTAGCAATGCTCTTAGTCATTCTTTTCTCAAAAAGGACCAACCCTGGGTGACTGCGGAACTACCCAGAGTTCTCGTTCCCTCTGACGTGACAAGCTAAAAAAGCTCTGGAACAATTACATTAAATGTAATTATATTAATTCTGCCTGGGCCATTTGACTTGTGATCCATACCTGATCTGTGGGGACATGTTTATCTAGCTCTACAAATCAACCTGATTCTAACAGATGCATACCCTGGTTTTGGTCTTTACTTCCATCTCCACCAGCTAGGCCCCCCAGAAGTCTGTCTTCTTTCCTCCTTCTGAATGGTATCATTTTGGCATAAGCTCTGTTTTGGTTGCTTATAGAGCAGGAGGCACAGTCAGGACTGACATGCCGTGCCACTCTTGGTGGCAGATGAATTACAGGAACAACATTTGAATAACTTACAATTTAGAAAGAATTTCATATTCTTTCAGTGAGAGAATTATTATCTAGCTATGAAGTTCTTAATTATCTTCATTTTGCAGATAAATAAACCTAGGCTCAGAAAGGCTAAGTGACCAATCCTTTTCCATAGAGTTGTAAGGGGCAGAATAAAGACTCAAACCCTGTTTGCCTGATTTTTAAACTCTTGACCTTTGTACTACACTATTTCTTACTTTCTTAATTACCCAAATTCAAGGAAGTAAAAAAAGCAGAGAAAACAGTGACATTTCCTAGGCTACAAAGGGCTTTTCAGGCATTTGACACTCTTGTGCTGTTCCCTGACACTGTAATGAGTCATTAGTATATAAAAACTAAGAACCTGAAAGGTACTTGTTTCTGCTAATATACCGACTAGGGGCTTTCTCACTGTAGAGGGAAAACAGGACTTTTCAGATGGTACAACTTTCACATGACAGAAGGAGGCTGAGCAGTAAGGGAGAGCCTAGAGTCTTACCACCTCCACATGGAAAAACACCAGATCAAATGTCAAGAGCCACTGTCATTGGCCAGGTTAAGCACTATCTTTTCATGACAAGTGAGTCTGTGCCCAATACATAAATTATAGAACTTTAATAAAGAAAGTTTTATAAATAAAATTAAATGAAATGACAAATTAATACATAACTAAAAAGAAAGGCTGCAAAAAATTGGTAATAAAAGCTCTAAGCCTGTCTTACATGACTGAAGCTTCTTCCTGCTGCTGCTTTTTTCTTCTGGCTCTTATATTGTAAATTAATTTTTTTTCAGAGAGTATTAGCAAAATAGGAATGAAGTAAGGAATTAAGCACATCCATGTTGCCAGGTTATAAAAATAAAAGCTCATTTTTTAAATTAAATATTTATTTTTAATATTTTTTAGTTCTTAATTCTTTATCCCATTTCACTCTTTCTGAATGCTGCAGCTATTTTACATCCTTCTTACCTATACTTTACTCAGCATCTTTTCCTTCTAATTTCTAATACTTTCTAAAAAAACACATAAATTTAGATCTAAGAGAACTTTAAAATTTCTTCCTAGTGGCTATTACAAATGAAATTCACTATTTTCCTCACATGTTATAAGATGGAAAGAAGAAAGGTTAGAAGTGGCCACATATTGAAACAAAAAATAAAATTTCTAGACAACAGAGCTTAGAAAGTGTTCACTCTCATTTTCAACCCGTATAAAGCAGCAACAGTGCTAAAATTAGTTTGCTGCTAAAAGTCACAAAAATAGTTTGCTTACTAAGGATTGACAAAGTTTGGTTTGTTAAAAATAAACTGGTATGACTGTCAGTACCAATTTTGCAGTTTGCTTTTCTTTTTTTTTTATTAAAGTATCATTGATATACAATCTTACGTTGGTTTCAAATAAACAGCACAGTGTTTCAACAGCTACCCATATTAAATTAAATCCTCACACCCCCTCTAGTGCAGTTACTATTTGTCAATTTAGTTAAGATGTTACAGAATCATTGACTATATTCTCCATGGCAGTTAGCTTTAATTAAAAATAAAATAAGAAATAAAAACAAAACCACAAGACCAACCCCCAAACAAAAATAAAACCCATATTCCTTTCCTGCTATCTATACTCCTATATTAATCATTATGGATGGGAAGTGTGTATGTTTTTAAATAGCCCATTCAATATCAGAATATAATTTTATATTTGAAAAAAATTGATCCCATAGCCGTTGTTTCTATACCACACATAAAGGCTGATAAAGTTTTTCTGGCTAGCAGAGTTACACAGAAAAGAAAATATAACTTCTGCATATAAAAATTCCATTTGCTGCAGGATCATAAGAATGTTTTCCTAGGGCAAATATAAGAATCTCTTGGAAAAGTACAAGAGACCTTATTTCAAATTTTATGGTACTACTACCTGGGGCTTGAACTAACTTAAAAATTCATTAGTGTGACCAAAAATAACACTTGAATTAATGTAAGTGGAAATAAAAGAGCATTCATATAACCAGAAGAAAAGTGACTAAAAAGTGGTTTAGTGGATATAAGGCAGGAACCAGGATACTGATGGCTAAAGATCTCTTCTGTTTATGGATCCACGCTGCTCATCTCTTTTATTGTCTGGATTTGAGTAATTTTACTCAAATTTTACAAGCTTAAAATAAATTGGTGAGTAAAGGTAGAGCTTCCCAAGACATTAACAGCACTGTCTCACCTTCACAGTTTCCAAGTCTCCAGCTTTAGATGCCTCCAAGAGTCGATAGTCAACATCGGAAGTGCGTATAGGTGTACTTTCTGCATAAAAAAAGAGAAAAATTACTGTTGGTTTTTAAGGAATTACAGAACAGTTCAGAAGGGAAAATTATTTGGTGAATGAAGAGAGATTAAGGGGTAAGAAATTTCTGAGATCTAAATACAGTGTTTTTTCTTAATCTTTTTCAGATAAGAAATAAGTGGTTTCTTACTTCAATTTACATCTACCTCATCCTAAGCCAAATTTAAATAAACTCTAAGACACAAATCCTTCTCCATTCCTACTTCAAATTTTCCAGTAGAAACTTGGCAAAGGGAATGCAGAAATGTAGGACCATGAGATCAAGAACCTCGTTATTATACCTTGTTCTACAGGTATTGCAGCAAAGCTTTGGCATAGATTTTGTTACGTAAACCTAGGAAAATTGTGCAACTTTTACATTTTATGTTTAGCCTTTCTTTATGGACTCCAACTCTTCAACATGAAATAGAAGTACTATGCCTCAAATCAGTGATCTTCAAAAACATAATCAGTGTACACAAAAGACCTACTAAATACAGAAATTTGTTTTTAATTTGTATTTATTGAATGGTTTCAGGGAAATGCAATTTAAAATGTCTGTGTAATTGGGATGCTAAATAGAATATAATTAAATCGACTGTTAAGTCTAGAAATATGAGGCTAGTAAATGAAGTATTTTCATTAATCTAATACAAACAAACCAAAAGTTCATTACAGATTGGCCCAAACAAAAAGCTTTTTCAAGAAAACAATGTATAATACATCACTCTGAGTATGTTCATGGACACTGTGTGTGGCTCTGTTAACAGAGAAGGATTTAAGTTCAGGAGACCTGGGTTTATACTGGTCTCTATTAACTGTGACAATGGACAAATCACTGAACAGCTTAGTTTTGACACCCACAGAGTGCTGGTTTCCTTAAATTCTCGTTCAGATTTCAGATTGCATTATCTTATGATCAGAGAACCTTTCTTGAGTCTACTGCCCAAATGAGAAGATCAAATGATGTTATAAAAAGGTTTTAAATTTCAGAAGAAATACTTTGGCTCTTTCTGGTCTGAAGTGTTTGATTCAGGAGAGTGGCTTTTACAGAATAAGTAATGAGAAGAAAAACTGAACTTATTTAGTGGTAATGATAATAATACAGATAAAATGTGAAGATTAGAGGAAAGCAGAGACAATTTCATATACTGGAGAGCATTTTTGAAATATCAACGATTGCTTCTCTTAAAAAGGGAGTTTATTCCATTTGTTAGTTTGTGAAGCTGTTAAGGCAAGAAATCAGTGTTGCTCATCTTTATACTCCCTTTCACGTAGAGGATATTCAGAGGCATTTGCTGCGTTGTGTTCCATGCTATCTTATGCTGGGGTCAATGTGTATGTCAACACATCTTTCTCTGGTTGCCCTCATTCTGCTCTTTCATGGCTCCTTTGCCTCCATTCCAGTGTGCATGCCATTACTGCATTTACAGGTGAGGAGTCTGTGTATGTTATATCTCCCTATGATTCTGGCAATTGGTAAAACTCCCTGAAACGTTCTCTGGAAATCTGTAGGTAATATTTTTAGTTTATCATTTCAACAAAATAATTGTTTATGTATAGAGAGTTTGAACCTTGGATATTTTCAGACTCTAGCATTTGAGGGTTACAATTACATGGCTGCGTTTTTTAATTCTTGGAACTATCTGAAAATTGGCACACCTGTCTTGATGCAGACTGCCTTGAAAAGGGTATAATTTTACAATCAAGCAAAAATTCTTATGTGAATGTAAGACTGCTTCTGAGAACTATGAGAAATTCTAGTCCCAGTCAAAGAGTAGAAGGCAGAGAAGTTCATTTAAAGATACTGATTAATTACTATACAGATTACAGAGCTCTGCATCCATTATACATCCTCAACAGGCTTCTAAGAGATTTTTTTAGAAACAATGTGAACAAAGTATTAGCTGAAAGGATATACATACAGCCAAGGAACTCTGTATAAAGAGATGAAGGATTAAAGAAGGGATATGAAAAATGAAGTTAAAAGGGAACACAGGCCAAAGAAGAGTAGCTGATTCTGCAAAGTACTGTATTAGTAAACTCTTCCTAAGCACATTTGCTTTTGCAGAGTATGAAATTAAAGATTTTTTTTCTACAATTCTATTCTGGCCCATCAAAATTAAAAACAAAAAACCTCTCAAGTTTTGAAGGCTGGAACGCAGTATGCTATTAAAAAAAAATCTATTGTAAACTGGCTGTTTAGATAGTGCTAGACTACAGGACAGGCAATAGGTCTTAGCAGCTTACTGCAAGGTGCAAATGTAAATGGGGATTTCAGTGTTTAATTTAGCTTTCGAAACTTCCCAAACCATTCCTCTATAAGTGACTTGGTAAAAGTCATGCAATAACCGTACTGGAATACACAGATTAGCCTAAAAGTGCTGCTAAAAGAACTGTCTGTGATACTGGAAATATTCTTTATCTGTGCTAAAATAGCAGCCACTATCTGTATGTGGCTACTGAGCACCTGAGATGTATCCAGTACAACTTATGAACAGATTTAAAATTTTAATTTAATTTTAATTATTTTAAATGTAGTCACATGTACTAGTGGCTGCCATATTGGACAGAGCAGGTCTAGAGAAAGCAGGGCTAGAGAAAAAATCAAATCTTCTGAAATAATGTTTTAAAATTGCTGGTTTATAAAAAGCTGCTTATCTTATTTACTTTTGACATAACTATTGGCAGCAGTTTACAATAAAACTTTATTAAGGTAAACTGTTGGCAGCTATAGACTAGGGAGCTGAAAGTATATTTCTAAAAGTGGATCAGAAATTTTAACAGGTATATTTAAATGACTTTTAAAAATCTTACCCAGAACAAAGCACCAACAGCTTACACATATCCTACATGACTTCTGCATCCTTTCAGGAGTCACTATAGATACAACCTGGAATTGTATTAGTAAATGTAGGCATAATTGAAAAGTTCAGCTAGTACTTGGTCTGCAGATTACAGACACACAAGTTTCTTAAGGAAATACTTGTTTTCAAAAGTTATATCCTTTTCCAAACAAGAAACAACTCATTTTTCAAAACCTTTCTAAGGGCAAGTCTTTACCATATACTTCTATTATTTGTATTATCTTTCTAGATCAATAAAGATTATGAAGAATTGAACTAGAATTGAACTGGCATCTATATTAAGCACTTAATTACCTATATAATGTTTTATCTAAGAAATCAATTTTTAATAACTATCAAAATAACTGAAGAAAAGTACTTCAACTGTGATTCAATACTTACTTCTATCTTTTACCAGAAGTCATATATTCTAACTGCTTCATTTAGAAGATATTTTCAAAGCGTTAATGGATCTAATCTGCTTAACTTATTTAATCTTTTCCTATTTTATTTAGTTAATGATGTCCAAAAATAATGCATAGTAATAGAAATTTTTATGTAATAGCTATGTTTACCTGGTTTATGGTTACAACTTCTAGAAACTAACTTAAAATTCAGTACTAAATGATTCTTAGTAAAAAGAATGAGAAAAATTCATAAAGTTTTAGCAAAATCACACCTTCTAAAAATTATTATAATTTGAGAAGGCAGAAATATTTCCTACTTAAAAAAAAGGAGTGATTACCTTCTTTCAACAAATGTTCCACTGCTTTGCTGAAATAGGAAGTTAAATGAAGTCATGTTTTCATAGTTCAAGCTTAAAATTCTATAGTAGGAAATCTCATTCCTTTAGATAATTATTTTTCATTCTGATAGTAAAGATGCCCTAGACAAGTTTACTTGAGTGGTCTAAAGATCACCTAAAGTCATCTAAGATTGAAGCAGAATCATTAGCTAAGAATAAACTAGTGTGAGGAAAGGAAGTCCCATCAACAGCATTTACAATGTTGCACAGATACTCATTTATGGGCTGGTTAGCTCTGACTCAGCTCTAACAGCACGTATGATCTCACAAGCCTGGGAAGTTCCTATTTCAGTGTATAGTTGTGATTCACAACTGGGCTGTACTTTTTGGGGGGCCTTTAGAAATGCATGGGATCAATTTTTGTCTTCTAGTAAAATCATATCCAAGGTATTACTATTATAATAATTATAAATTATTTTACCATAACTTTCTGTCATTTTCTCTTTGTATTATATTTAGGGTATTTAATAGAGTTTTTGGAAGGTATCTAGATAGTTAGGTCATGTTATCTACGATTTTCATTGCTGGGAAGGAAAGGGGATGTTATAAAATACCTGCTATAAAAAGGGGAACTGTGTTTGATGGAGTAAAGAAGTGCTGGGCTGTAGCAGAAAAAGTATCTAGACTTCCAATTCCTAGTCTGTAGGCGTCTCTATTTACTTTCCCAGTTTGTTATGTCATTCTAGAGCAGCTACAATCCATGGACAAAATTAAAAGGATCAGAAAGAAGAGCCAATTATACCTATTTTCTATCTAGTTCATCATTTTTCAGTAAAACTATTATTTACAATTTTAGGGCTTGGGAAACCAATATCTATTTCCTTACCAGTTTTATGTTTGATCTCCCTCAATAAACTAGTTAAAATAATCTAATACTGTACTAGGTGGGCACTAACATTCAGCAAGTTTTTATTAATTACATTTAAACTAGGAAAAGACATGATAATTTCCTAATAGCGCAATGCAGTTAAGATTTACAAAAAGCATGTCAGAATATAACATATGTAAGAACAGTTAATTAAAGATCACCATATGAATGATTTTAATTTTCCCTATATGACAGATTTTACAGCTACTAAAATTCCACATTATTTATATGAGTTCTAAGTCACCTTTGATGATAACACTCACAAGTCAGGTTTTCGACTTAAAACTAAAAAATTAAACAGTATTTCCATCCTCATGACACCTGCCTCACTCCACCAAAAAAGGCTGACGGGGAGGGCCACCAGCCAAAGTGCAAGCAAGCAAAGCAAGAAATACCCAGCCATGAAAACATTCCAAGGAGCTGCTAAGACAAGTGGTGCGAAGTTTGCTTCTATCGGTGGACATGGAAAAGGAAGCACAAAATGTGCTGCATATCTGTTTCAACTCACCGCTCAGAATCTGCTGCACGGCTTCATTTCCCATCTGGGCTGCTGTGAAGCCTTGTAAGGAGATGATGGAGGGATCAGAGCCGTAGCTCAGCAGGACGCGGCAGGTCTGCAGGTGGCCTGCTAGGGCAGCTCGATGCAAGGCAGTCTGACCAAGGGTGTCCAGTGCGTTCATCTGAAAAATAATTGGGTGGGCACGTGGAATTGAGCATCTACTTGGTTTTCTTTTACAATCTAAGTTCTTATGAGAAAAATCAATTGTCAGAGCTTTTTAAAAAAATGCCACAAACTATTCATTGTTAATATGTGCTTACTGGTTCTGAAGAAATATCATCTTAGTTCCCCTTCTCTGACCACCTTATTGAAAATTACAACATAGCTATTCCTTCCCTGAATGACTGTCCACCTGTCCTGCCTCCACTCTCTGCCACGCCCCTTGATGACTAGAAGGGAGGCCTCTGGAGGCTGGGGTGTCACCTGATGTTCGCTGCCTGCCACATCCAAGATGCACATTACATACTTTTGGATAAATTTTACCAAACCTGTTCTAAGAATATAAATCCAACAAAATATGTAAGCAAAGACAATCAAAACAGTTCATTACATTTCCTTTCTAATTTTAGTAAAGAATTATTAACAGAATGCCCTAACTGAATTACATTTAACCAAATAAGTGATCTGAAGATCCAAATGTTCCGTTTTTTAAACTCTGAAGAGGTATAAGGGAAGAAGAATAAATTCAGCTAGTGTTAAAATTTTTGAAGACAAGACAATGTTAAATTTGGGGAACACACTCATAATTTGATCAAGCCTAACTGGTCCTAACCCAGTTTCCAGGATGCCTCAGTAAACACCGTCTATTCCAAACAAAGCCCAGGTTCACTGTATATGCTGCTTCTCGCAGAGAAGCCCTTCTTTCTGCCATTCTGGATTATGAGATCCAGTGCAAGTCTCCCTCTCCTAAGAAGTCTTTGATAACTTGAAGCCTCAATGATCACGGTCTTCCTGAGCACCTGTGTCAACTTAGCATTGTCTTACTGATTATGGTACTGGGGTAGTTTTTATTTAAGTTAAATTAAGGTTATTGAGAATATGGATTGTATTATACACGTTTTCTAGGTCTTGTAGAAAGCTTGTGTTAAGGGGACACAGTAAATTCTCAAATATATGCTGGCTAGTTATTCAAAACATTTGGCACATTACCAAATACAAGATTAAGAAAAGAAAGGATTTAAGACAATTGATTTCCATGACTCCAGTCTTTCATGGTTACAAGTAAGGCTGTCACATTTGTTCAGGCAAGAGTTCCTCTAAATTCTTAATGGTGTTTCGTAAAAAAATTCACCATGAAATACTGATATAATTAATTAGATCATATCTGCCAGCAGAAAAATGCATTTATATGTATGTATAGGCAACATAAGAGCACAGCCATTAGCATGAACCAATTGAAAGCATAAGCTGCCAACTCAACTTCTTAAAATTTTCTATGAATATTTCTTTGTTACTTCTTCACCACAAGAAAAAAAGCCTAAAACTAAGACTATTTGTCATTAACATTTTTCTGAAACTGGATAAGAAATTTTCATATTTTGTTATAGAAATCCTGAATCCAGTGTGCTGAATCACTGGAACATGGCTTGGGATTACTACTCCAAAATACAGATCTTACCAAGTTATTCCTTAGTTCAAACTTAGTGACTCTTCAAGGCCTTCAAATACACTTGAATCCCTCAGTATGTCATTAAAGACAATCTCTATTATTACCTCAACTTCCTTTCTACTCTATTCTTCCATCACAATGCAATAGGCCTGCTATGTTCCAGCTTTACTGGGTTACAATGGAGCTCAATTTTATGATGGTGTTAATTTCTAAAGTCACTGCAAAAGGCAAACTTCACCTTTGGCCAGGATTATCCTTGAAAACACCCTGGCAGTGCAATGATAAAGACGAAGTTTTTCAGTAAATCCAACACTAGCCAGTATTACCTCCAATGTTGCTGAAGCAGATCAACTGAATACCAAAGTACCTACAGCACCTGTAAACATTAAAAGTACATCATGTGCAAGAAGATGTTCTAAAAATATGCAATGAATGGTGGAACTGAGCGCAGCACAGATGACAGCAGATTCCCTGCTGGCTCTCATTCCCTCGGGAGCATGCACAGGGGGAAGTGAAATACTGGGTAAAAACCACCATTCACTAATTATTTAAATCAATTTTTCTTGTTCCTCAACCTCTCTCTGTTCTGGAAGGGGTAGTCCTGAGTGTAGCCCCAGTGTATTCTATCCTTTTCATTTCTGACCACAATTTATTTCTTAACTAGAATTCTGATACAGAAATCAGTATTTCTTTAAAAAGTTTTTAATCTTTTAATGTGTTGTGAACCCACTACAGTGGATAGAAGTTGTCTAAGAAGTCAAATTTTAATAAAATTTGAGAGACATGCAACTCAATTAATATTTATTAGCTGAACTTGAAGTGTATTATTTGCAAACTTTCAAAATTCATGTGGGATTTTAAAAGGAACAAATTCTTTGAAAATTGTAATGGTATATACATGTCTGTTTTTTGCTTTGGCAAAGGGGTACTTACTTTCTCACATGCCTGACCCATCTGAGAAATAACTCCCTGAGCAGAGCTGAGTAGCAGACTAGAGACCAACCCAGCGCCTGTGCTCAGTCTCATTCAGTCCCCCTTTCTCATCCCTGCCACACGTGGTATGGTCCTAAGTCAAAGACACATCAAGCAGGGCTGCAAAGATCATATTTAGGACGTAGCGAAGTAAAACAGAAAAATACAGTCTTCAATGGTCTTGAATGAAGCAGATAAAGAGCAACAGAGAAAAGAAATCCATGCAACCTCAGAGACAGACAGACAAACAGAGATACAGAAAGGCAGCCAAGGTACCCAAATTTTCCAAATTCCTTGCTCTAGTCTTTTGTGAATATCAGCTACAATTCCTGCAGATTATTTCTGCAGGATAACCATATGATTATCTCACAAAAGAAAGAAGCATACACTTAGAGAAGTGTAAAACAGATTTCCATTTGTGCTTAATCTAGATTCAGTTGATCTACTCATAAGGAGAATGTCTTTGAGATACTGGTTCCTTTGGTCTTTATTTTGAGAAGATTAAGCTGCAGATATTATTTGAACTATAAAAGATACTTTGAATCTATAGCTTAAAAAGCACTTTGATACCTTTGGGCTAATAGAATCTGCTTATCGATCCACCTGTAAAGTAGCTTTAATCAAATCCTTACAATGAGCTAACACATTTCCCCAAAAGTGAGCAAAGACTCTTGATCACTTCTCAATGTGAGAAATAAGTCCATTTAATGCCAGTGACTATTGACACAATTTCTTCTTACACAGAATATAAATAAATCTGTCAAATTAAGACACATGAACAATCCAAAGAAATTTCTTCATGTTTCACACACTTAACAGATGTTCACTAATGACAAAATAGCAGTGCTTTATGTATGAAAAGAAACCACTTGCAAATTAAACCTTTTGTTTTTAGGTATTAATAATACCATATGCAATGAGGGCTTAAGTTCTATATAATGATGATAGCAGACAAGGCAGTAGGGATAGAATACAGAATGCCAGGGTAGGCTAGCAATAATAAAGAAAAAACCTGCCACACCAAGGATAAAATTTTCATGTCCCTCCCATTTAGGCTTTATAGTATAATGATGCCAAGCAGGGGATTAGGAGAGATAATTATTCATTTTTTAAAGCTATATTAGTTAATTCCTGTCAAAATGGAGTCTTCAACTGAGTTGGTCAATACTCCCATTTTCTTCTAATCCTCCTTTGCTTACTAGCCATTTCCTTTCTAGCCTCTCTTTGAATAGCGCTTGCTTGCTCCTCCAGACCCATATCCATTCTTCCCCCTGCTCTGGGTCCTAGGAAAATCACTTGCAAGGATTACATTGTGATATACACTTGAGAATCTAAGTCTAAGTTCATTTTCAGTAGTTGGTCCCACTGGCCATAGCAATACTAAAAAGATTTCACTCAGATGTATAGAGCCACTGGAAAAAGTGAACTGCTAGCAATGCCTACTAAATCACAGTGCTTCTTTTTAATGTAATTTGCTAATTATGCTAAGGTTTTCATCAGAATTCTGGAGCAAAACTGTATCTTTCTTAATGTTCTTGCAAACTTATTTGGTGTTGAATTAAAATGTTTTTAATGGGTTCAAAACCACCTGCACATAAATTAAGAAAAACTTCCAAAGAGGTTAAAAAATTATCTTTTCAAGTTTTTTGGTTATATCACTCTAAAATATGTAGGTTTTACCTTTAAGGGTCTGATTAGATTTCTTTTTTAAAAGTACCTACCTACAAGTAACAGTCACCACAGAATCATCAGCAAATTCCAAACCCTCTTATTTGCATTAAAAAAACGGAAGTTCAACTAAGGATGAAATTCCTGAAAACACAAATTCATGTAATAGCCAGACAACCCCTTTATGCTGTGAGACTGTCATGGCCATCCCTGGTTATCAACAATGGTATTTATAAAGGATCTACCATTTAGGACACTATCCATACACGCACTCATTTGGACACAGGTAAAGCGCAGGGTGTCACAATGGGCTCACAGTGGACAGGTGAGTGAGTGTCATGGTCATCGCCATCCTCAAAGTCCCACCCTTGCTTAGGAAACACCTGGGCTCTACCTGACTCAGGCTACACGTGGCCCTAAGGAGGGTGCCAGCATCAATTTGTGTATTAAATATTAGTAGACCTTAATTTTTTTACTCTGAATAAAGAAATTACTATTTTAGTAAGTTAAAAACTCTAATATTTTTACCTGCACCCAATGGCTCATCTTGTATGTTCCACTGAGTGTCTGCACCCTGCTTTGGGGATTACAGCTTGAACATATACACCCTTGAGCCTTTTAACACTTCCAAGTTCAAGTCACCTCTGAAAAACAACCAGTATCTTTCCTTCCTTCCTCAGGTATATGAGTTTCAGATAATGACAAAAAAGATGGTGTTTAGGTAGAGAAAATGATCATTACCAGTTTGAAGGAATACAAAGTTCTTTAAAATAAGTAGCAGAATTTTGATCATCATCTGCGTAAATTATTTTCTGATAAACCATCTATGATGTTGATTATCAAAATATATCAACTCCACTATTAACATAAAATAATGTAAAGGTGAAACGTACTTAAACTGGTAGGATTATAGCTACACTTTATTGCTTTATAGAAGAATGACAGTAAAGTACTATAAAGCACGGGTAATTAATTTGATTAGTAAGAAGATTTAAATCAGCTTTAAAGGGGAATCAGTGAATTCAAATACATGCTAATAGTCCTTTATCAAATTAATTTCTTCAGGAAAATCCGAGACAAAACAAGAGCCTGAAGAGCAGCTAGCTGCTCATTGCCAAGTTGGACAGTGTATCCCAGGCGCGCTCCTTACCTTTGCTCCATGCTTATGCAGAACTTCCAGGACATCATTGTGAGCTCTTTCTGCTGCAACATGCAGGGGAGTCATGAAACTGTGGGAAGGAGAAAAGGAAAAGGTAATTTCCTACCTCTGGCTGCGTTTCCCCCTCTGAGAACTGCACAGCTCCTGCAATTGCACTTACTCTTTATTCTTCTCATTGACATTTGCTCCTTTTCTAAGTAACAATTCTGTCACTTGTTTTCGTTTGGGATGCAGGGAGGCTACAGCACAGTGCTAGAAAGTGAACAAAACTAAGTTAATAAGGTCAACTTCATTTAAAAGTAGATTTCTGAATTAAATAGCATGTATTGACTATTTAGAATGTTATCTCAAAACATGGATTTCACATAATGGAGATGATCAAAATTCTTCCTAAATACACTGTAAGTACAAAACATACGGCTTTCAACAAAGGTGAAAAAATGCTCTTAGTTACGCATTAAGAGACTTCATTTCTTTTCCTTTAGCTAATAAATAATTACCCACTATATATTTACTTGAAAGCTTCAGAATACTGCCTCTCCAAAGCTATAAGAATCTGTAATGGAATTACTCAGTCCTTCATTAGGCTGTCAGCCCATAAATCAGTATTTCTCAAGCTCCTTCCCAGAGGTACTCAGGGCTAGCACTATACACCCAGGGACAGGAAAGAAGGGAATAGACTTGAAGGAGCTCAGAGAGAGAAGTATTCTCAGAAATTCTATGTTTTATCCTATACTTCTATGACTTTTGTATTTAACTTCATTTTATATTAATGTTTGCATTAAAATTTTAAAGTAAAAAATGAGTTACTACTAAATGAAAGGTACATTCTAAAAAAGCAGGTTTATTCTGTGGCTTTGAGAATTTCCTGGCATAATGCTGTGTATCCTGAATGTATGTGAAGCTCAGTTTGAGAGCCACATTATCAGTGTAGGTACAGCTGGTCCACTGTGGTCTGGTGACTCCTCATGTTGTGGCAGCAGGTGCTGACTAGTTTGCTCCTAGAGAAAGTTAACTGAAGCCTACTGAGAACGCTTGTGCAAGGCACGACATGTACTCACACTGAACTGAGAGTAACCTAACCCTAAACCTTAACCTCCATGTGGTCAACAAGGAAAACCAACTGCTCTTCCTGAAAGTGCATTAGAAGAAAAAAAAACACAGTTTGAAAACCAATTTGTACAGTCTGTAACAAAAAATCCATAATCTCCCCACTTTTCCTATAATGTATGAAATAGTTCTTTTAATACAATTGCTCACAAGGATGATGCAAGTGCCTTTGAAAACACTAATCTTCTACAGAAAACTGAGAAAACTGGCAACCATATGAAAAAGAGGATTCTATAGAGAAAATCACATCTTATATTTTATGAAAGCAATGGCCAGAGAAGTAGATTTGTTATAATACGGTTGGGTGAAGACAAAGGTAAAACTAATTCCCAAATCGAGGTTGAACAAATGTCTATTCTCTCACCCATAAAAGCAATCATCTCCCGAAAAAAATTTAAAAATCCATGCAACCAACATTAAAATGCAAATTCCTGGCACTTCAGGTACTAAAGTTATTTTAAGGTTTCTGAAATGAAAATCATATTTTGTGCTCATACTACTATTACAGACCCAAGGAATGGATTAGCAATAAAATCTTACCAGTGCAGTTTCATGAGACTGTGGTTGTTTGAAATTAATGATTTCCAAAGCAAGTGTTTTTTTAACTTTGGCTAGGTCTGCTTCTCTAGCTGCTTGTAGTAAAGAATGACCTTTAAATTCATCTGTTAATGAAATAATGGTTGACATAAACAAGACTTAAAATCTCTGAACATCATTAGCATGACTATAAATAAAGTAGGAAAATTATTCATTTTACATATTCCTCTTTAGCATCAGCAGTAACATGACGTGAAGATAAAAGTGCAAAGGATGAGGTTGTAGGTTAATAAGACTGTTTTATACTCTTAATTAAGAGTTCATAAAGATACATACATAAAGATATTCCAGCAAAGTTTTAAAACAACTTAAATGTCCACCAAGTGGAAACCAGTTAAATAATTGTGAATGCTTATATGCTAGAATACTATATAGCTCTTAAACAAAAAAGAAAGCTCTATCTATGCTGACATATATTATGAAATGAAAATTCAAGTAGCAAAAGAGGAAGGATAGATTGGCCCCATTTTTTTGCATTGTTACTACTACTATTGCCACCACAACTAAATATAAGTAATGGTATAAAAAAGACGCTGAGAAATATTCATTAAAATATTAACAGTCATTATGTCCTGACACAGAGGAGGGAAGAACTGAATTATGGGGGAAGAACCAGCATTTGAAAATTTTCAAAGGACAATTCGTATTTCATTTACTTGTATAAAATGTATTTATTTAAAAGGCATTTCTAAAGTAATTGCGTAAATAAGAATCTGATACTCTTATTTATTAAAAACATATAGTCTTATTTTTTATTTTACGAGTTTGGTTTGTATTTGACTACCGCTTATGAGCAAAAAGATGAAAATTGTTCTATGAAGATGCAAACGATGCGACCTAATATGTAACAATGCAGCCCTTACATGTTGACACATTTGCACCTGCCTGGTAGTGATTCTTCCTTTTCCTTTCTCTCTTTACCTCTGAGGGCTCTGCCACACTCCCCTTTCTCCCTCAGAAGAGAGAGAGAGGCGCACATATGTGCACATATACACGTGCCTTATTAACTATGACTCTTTGTTCAAAGGTTTGGGTTAGATAGTCTGATTAGGCCTTCCTGCCATTCCCCTTACTGGGGAAGCATTTCTCCCCATGAAGTCCACTGCATTTGCATTTAGCCCTGTATCGCAGGACATACCCCACATTGTCTTGGCATATAGCACAATGTTTGGCATATAGCAGGCACTCAAAATATTTGTTGCACGAATGCTGAATATTTATGAAGAAAGTCATGGCAGTTTCCAGAAAAAAAAATTACATGACCTCATGTTTGGTAGCACTTTTCTCACTGCTAAAGTCCTTAAAGTAAAGGGCTTTGAAACTCAGAAACCCAAAAAGGGTCAAATGAGTGAAAGTAAACCAGTATTTTCAAATAACAACGAAATGACAGATTTTCATTTTAATGATAAAATTAAGGGTAAGTGAAGTTAAGAGATTAGAAACTGCTCTATGCAAGGAGCAGGATCCTGACCTGCTAAGGAAGGTTACTATACTGAGAACTGCTTTCAAGCTAAAACTATAGTTTTTCTTTGACCACAACCCAGAGAATGGAAAAGCTATCAACTGTCCACTATGTAACTGTCCTTCTAAATGTAAAGGTCACATACAGGTTTGTTTTTAAAACCTCAAGGAAGTTAAGTAGTTAAAAAGAAGGCAGTAAAACTACCAATTACTCAACCCTGAAAACGAAGTATTTATAAAATGCCTTAAATGTACCTCTCTCAAAATGCATTTTGAAACAAGAACGGAAGCCCCTTTCTGTATTTTTCAGTTCCAATTATGTGCAGAACCCAAACTACCTTGTTCATTTGGCTTTATGAAAACAATTAAGTAAAAAAAAAAGGGGGTGGGTGGGTGGGGCAGAAAAAATGTGTTATGATCAAAATATTGTTTTTCTTTGTATCCTGTATAATTTTCTTAAAAAGAATTCTGTTATTGCGAATGCCTAGTATAAAGTAGTGGACATGATGATGAAAATTACAGTTAGAAAAGTTCCAATTTTGTTAAATCCTTTTCTTCAGATAATTCCTTGGTAGAATCTTATTTAATAAAACAAAGGAGATATTGAGAAGGTTCAAAGTATTCTAATTGGGAAACTACTTCCTTTACAAAACAAAACAAATTTAGGTTAAATCTTAATGTTTACACTGGAATCAGGTCAGTGAAATACAATATAAAAACTCATTATAATACTTGTAACTTGCAAAATTATTGAAAGAAAAAAAAAATTCATGACATGGGGTTAAAGCTGAGCCCAGGGTATGAACTAAAAGAAGGAATTAGAAAGTAAGTTTTGAGTTAAAACTCAGTCCCATAAACTTGCTGAGCACACACCGCAGTGCTAGGTTGGGGTTAGGTATACATACAGGCCCAAATGCAAACACCATCAGCACTTTTCTTTCAGGTAACAAGGAATTGTGCAGATGCTAGCACAGAATACTAAAACCAAAGGTCTTTCTAAGAATTTAAATTTCACTGAGAAGACAGAAAATACACATAGGAAAATGAGCTATCTGATGCAAGATAACATACGGCAAGAGTCATAAGAGTGGGAGAGAGAATAAATGTACTTCTCCAAGGATTCATTGCTAAGACATCTGTCCATTTATAATCTAGTTTGTGCTGGCCTGTAATCTAGTATATATCATCTGTTCTACTACCAAAATAAGTTTAAATTTCCCCTTAAAAAAGATCAAAATTGCAACTCTTCTTGTTTTAACATCAACTAGTTTAAAATCTGCTTAAACTTAAATGATGTCATCATCATTCTGACTATGCCCTTTTCTTAAGTTAGCATTTAAAGGTTTTCTCAGGCATTTAAATCTAGTTGCCTGATTCTTAGAATCCTAGATGTATGAGAGAATACCAACCATGGGATTAGTTAAAAATCGGATAGGTAACCTAGTTTAATTTAAACCTGAAATGTCCATATGCAGAACTAAACTTATCACAGTGTTTGATATGACAACTTAATGTAATGTTGTATCCTGAATGAGATCTTGCAACAGAAAAGGACTTAGGTAAAAACTAAGGAAATCTGAATAGAGGTCTTTAATCAATAATGTATCAATATTGGTTCATTAATTATGACAAGTGTAAGTGTTAATAATAGGGGAAACTGGGTATGGAGTATATGAGAACTCTGTTCTATTTTTATAACTTTTCTAAAAATCTAAAACTATCCTAAAACAAAAAATTCATTAAAAAAAACATGTTTACATATATATGTGTATATGTACATATGTATCCATATATATATATATAATATATATATTAGTATTTAAGAAGATTACTTCCACCAAATCATAAAAATGATCTAATTTAAATTTGAGCAAGTGACTACACTTGGGCTGTAACACACATAAGAATAAAAACATGACTGTGCAACCTTGCAGAGTGTGGGAAAGAGCGTGTGGTCAGTAATGTTAGGTATCACCTATTTTTACCAAAAGTGTAAGAACATTAGCTCTGTGAGCTCAGAGATTCTTTTTTTGGTTTGTACACTGCTGTATTTCCAGCAACTGGCACACAGTAGGTATTCAATAAATGCTTACTGATTGACTCATCCTCCCCTAGCCTTTAAAAAAAAGGAGCCTTAACACATAAATAAGAATTAGGTTTGAAGAAACATAAAATATGTACAGTGCATGAATAGACTACTCCTGTGGAATTCATGAAAGAAAGTATATGATCAGAAATGAGGATTATTAACTAGTCTAATAACAGCAGGGCATTATATCAGTTAGACAAAACACCAGCCCTAATAAATAACTAATAAAAATGAGATTCTAATTTATAACAAGCAATACAGATTTTTGGATATAAATACATACAGGTCAATCTCTCTCGGAGCTCAGGAGTTGGAGCCATATCCACGGCACTTTTGCCGTGGCAATTGACTAATGTAGGATCAGCTCCATGGCTAAGTAACAAAGAGCAGACTTCCACACGGTTCTTGGAAGCAGCCTCATGGAGTGGAGTGAACTGCCAGAGATCCATAGCATTAACACAAGCTCCATGCTGAATCGAGGAAAAATGTTGTAGATCAGTAACCATTTCGTTGGATCAAATAAAACTCACAAGATATTTATTTCACTGTAGTTTTCATTACAACTCTTTGAAATGTCAGTAAGTGTTTTAAATTTCTTTCATTTCAGCTTTGAAAGCTTAAAACAAATTCAATGTTTAAAAAGTTCTAAGCAAGGTAATATTTTTAAAAAGTGTTTCATTCCTTAAAAATCTTAGTGGCCCCAAAACACATTTAAAAACTCATGACAAGTTTAAAAAAAAAAGCAAATGATGACCAATATTTTTAATTTCTCTTACCTTTAGTAGTAGTTCTGTGACTTCATAATGTCCATATGAACATGCATTATGAAGAGGCACAAGTCCACTAAATGAAAAAAGACAAATTAAGATACTGAAATTTCAAACAACTTACATTTATCGAAGAAGTGCTAAGAAACAAAATTCTAGTAAATCCTAATACAATTATACTAAAAAAATTTCCAAGTATTAAGAGGATACAAAGCATAACTAATGTCTAAACTTTCATTTTTATCTTGTATTTTGTGTATGTAATCCTTAAATGCAATGGTAAAAACATCAACTAGGAAAACACTTAGGTAAAAGGAAGAACATATGCTAATTGACAACTGCATGCTTTGTATATCAAGTAATTACAGAAAATACATGTTTATAGATAGTGAACTGAAATATTCCTTCCATTTCATTTCACTTTAAGGGTAATTTCCAGCCTGAGAATTAACTATCCAAACTCTGATAACTTGCATATCAAAGTGCCATTCTACATGAGTCAAAGGCCCCTTTTCTGTGGTGTACTTCTCCTGATGACTCACCTATTGTACACCCATCTGTTTTCAGACTTGTGCAAGGAAACAGAAATGTACAACAGCATCAGGCATTTGTGCCCCTATACTACTGGGACACCATTCACATATGGCACAAAACCTGGTGCCGGAAAGACAGCACTAGAGCACCAAAAAGCAGACTGGAAATGATGGATTCCCCATCTGATACTGTCTTAAGTACTGAGTTCTTCATTTGTTTCCTGACATGCAGAGGGGCAGAAGGAAAAGAAACCCTTCTCCAGGGCTTCTCTTCTTTATGCTGCCAATTTACAAGAGGGTACTTACTACCTGTGGAGTAAGGTCAATTATCTTTTAGAACTGAGGGTGGGATAATGAACAATGTTAGCCCCTCAATAGGACAGCAGACCCCATTCATATGTTCCTGGAGACTAGACAGGAAGCTGGTACAAAGTTTTCCAAAATTCACCTATGCATAGAATAAATGACATAACTGCTTTCTTGGTTCCCATCCACCCCTCTCACATCAACCTTCATAAGGACCTTCTAGGTTTTCTTAGCCCAAATGCCTAAGGTTTTATCAGGAAAAAAAACCCCCAACAAATTAGAATATTGCATATTTATGATTTTTGCCTTATTAATAAGAGATGATCCCTTCATACCAGATGAATATGATAGCTATGTTACTGGATTAACAGAATTTTCAGTTTGCTTTATCTTTCTGAGATGCAATTCGAGTTGAAAAATAATAATTGCAACTGAGAGAAACAAATTTTAATTTCAAATAATAGAACTGCAATAAAATTAAGCTAATTTAGGAAATTATGAGAAGCAAGCATCCTTAATAAGTAGAACATGAAAATAGTCAAATTAAAGTTGCAAGCATTCTTAAAATACACATAAGCTTTAAGAAATGAGAAATATGATTTTTTTTGTCTTGTGCTCAAAAACTTTAGCATATCAGATCTTGAAAACAAAGCATAACAATCCATGAGCAAAGCCAATAATGGAAATAAATCCATACACCTACCCTTTGTCTTTTGCGTGAACATCAGCACCATGCTGAAGCAGCAGCTGAACTACCCGAACCCTGTTGTAGCCCGCTGCCAGGTGTAAAGGAGTAGACTAGAAAAGAAGGAAAATGAAACCCCTCTTCAGGCAAGTAATTCTTGCTTTGCCATTTAATCTGTACTTACTTAGATTTAAACACAACGAATGTTTACATATGCCGAAAATGAGTCGAAATGCCAAAAATTAACATTTCATAACTGGATGAGAGACATTTACTCCCCTCAGGAGCAAATTCTGACTTCAACTCCATTCAGCTATTACTCCTACTTTTTTCTTAAGCCCTACCCTACCTACTGTACAGTCTTTCTTGTTTCTTTCCAACACAAACCACTCTCGCTGTTCTGAGAAGACACGTAGGGCTCATATTCCTCAGAATCAGAAACATTCTTCTTTATCCTACTGAAATCCTATCTACCTCCCCCGTTCTTTCAAAGCCCAATTCTATCATAAAGCCCTACCTAAAGAGCTAGCTTTCATATTTTCTCTTTAATAAGAAAAGTTGAAAAAACTCCCTAAAGAACTATTTGAAGAAAACTTTTGTGCCAGCAAAAAGGACAATGGACTGTATTCATTCCATGCAGCTGTTAGCAATGGGTCAAAACTAACATTCTACTTTGGATGCAATGAAATATGCCAAGATAGTACCTGATTCTTCTATTTTATTTCCTACATATGTACTATAAATAACTGTAAGAGGAAAATAGTTTCTTCCCAACTAATTTCTGCCACATTTTAATTTGAACTGCTACTAAAAGGTTCTTTGTTCAAATTTAATATGGTGATTAAAATAGTCAAACTTCTCACCATTTTAAAAAAATTAGCAAAATTTAATTAAAAGGTTCTCTGCAAACATAGCAATTTCCACCTTTGCTCATTTACTGAAAGTTTAAATACTGTAATAGCTTTTCACACAGGGTCTAATATAGGTAATCCAGGGACTAAAACAGCTTTTCACAAAGCACTTAATGTACTCTCATTTCTCCTGCCTTCTATCTGGGCCTTGGGATTCAATAAGACTTTCACTTTATTTTCCCCACATATTCCAAATGTTAAGATACTAAAGAATTTAGTTACACTTAAATAATGCTGTATTTAAAGTTACATACAGTTTACATATTCTGATAGTCACTAAGTTTAGGAAGTATTTCTGAGCAATATACAGTTAATAATGAGGAGATCATGTAGATAACAAGAGAGTCCTGGGTAGAAAGTCAGGAAATCTGATTGTATTCCTGGATCTTATGAAACTGTAAAGGTCTTATTACTTATGTATCTCAGCTTCTTAGTGTGTAAAATAGAGATAAAATAGCTATCTTAAAAGTGTGTGAAAATAGTTCTCTCTCAAATATAAACACTTCAAAATGCAAAATGTCTTACAAAAATAAATGGTTAAAATTTTTGTATCACTAAACAACATTCCCATCCAAGTTTCTGCTTTTAGATACGTGTCAAATGTTAACTGCAAATGATACCTCCAGGGAAAATCAAGTTATTTTCAGGAGTATTTCACCCTTTCCTTTAATATTTTAAAGATGCTGCTTCACTATGTTCTGGCTTGCACTGTTATAGACTAGAAATCTGCCAATATCCTCATCTTTGTTCCTCTGTACTACGTGGTTTTTCCTCTGGATACTTTAATAGTTTCTCTTTATCACTGGCTTTAAGCAACTTGTGATGTTCCTTAGTATAGTTTCTTTCTTTCTTTCTTTCTATCATCCTTCCTTCTTCCTTCCTTCCTTCCTTTCTTTCTTTCCTTTCTTCCTTCCTTCCTTTCTTTCTTTCTCTTTCCCTTTCTTTCTTTCTTCTTTCTTTTTCTTTCTTTCTTTCTTTCTTTCTTTCTTTCTTTCTTTCTTTCTTTCTTTCTTTCTTTCTTTCTTTCTTTCTTTCTTTCTTTCTTTCTTTCTCTCTCTCTCTCTCTCTTTCTTTCTCTCTTTCTCTTTCTTTCTCTCTCTTTCTTTCTCTCTCTCTCTCTCATCCATCCATCCATCCATCTATCTACCTACCTACCTATCTACCTACCTACCTATCTATCTATCATCTTATTCCTACTTGTTTATTTGTGCTTGGGGCTTGCTGAGCTTCTTGAATCTGTTTTGGAAAACTTTCAGCTACAATTTCTTCAGATATCTTTTCTGCCCTCTCTCCTACCGTTCTCTCTTTCAGGGTCTCCAGGGGTCCATATTTTAGGTTGCTTTCAAAGCCTGCTTTTAAGCTTTATTAAGCAGGACCAGAGCAGCCTTTCAGTTAGGACTAATTTCCCCTTCCGGTGAGGTAGTACCCTTCTGAGTACTCTGTGATGTCTAATGAATCATGAGGTTTTTCCACTCTGGCTGGAGGCAAGAGAAACGATCACAGACTGAGTTGCTAGGACTGTTACCTCTAATCCTTTTTTGGGTGGTTCTTTACCCAAAAATCTCAGGTAGTTTCCCGTGCCCATGTTAATCAGCACTCAGCCAAAGATAGTAGGGTCTTTGCAGATCTCTGAAGCCTTATCATCTGTGCAGCTCTCCCTTCCCTGGTCCTCCACCCAGCTAGCTCTCATCACCTCAGTCTCTTCAAAACTCCTCCTGGGTTTCCCCTCCCAGAATAAAGGTATAGATATGCTTTCTAGGCGGTAAGCTGGAGCAATCACATGACTCAGTTTATTTAATTCCTATTTCTCAGGGATCACTGACATGTATTGTCTTGTAAGTCCAATTCCTGAAAAACCAGTGTTTCATATATTTTATCTTAGTTTTCTTATTGTTTCAGGAAGGAAGGTGAAACCAGGTAACTTCATTTTGGTCTACTTTCAGGACTGAACTGAACTTATCCCGTGGTTGGGAAGCTTCCTCCAGACACAATACCTGCTTTGGACACTGTCAATGAGTCAGTTAGCTCTTTTACAGGACATAGATGACATTTAGTATTACATGGAAAGAGTGACATCTGCATTCCTGAGGCACAAAAAGATTTTCCTTTTTCATATTAGTTATCTTTTTTACAAAATTTCATTTGTATATAGTTGATTTGATAATAGTTATTTCTTATTCCTGAAAATGAACCGAGTCCCTAAATGAATGAATACATATAGACACATATTGTTTATTTAGAAGGACAAAACGTGAGAAAAAATATCTAGTTTTGGGATTTTTAAAATCATTTTGAGACTAAAAGTTATTTACAGTGCTTTGAAAACAGTAATATATTTAGTTTTTAAACTGTTAAAATTTAAAGAACTTAAATGAATGAGAAGGCTCTGTAACTGACAAGGTAGAAAGTGATAGGAAGCCTGAGACAGAGCAGCTGTGAAAAATGGAGCTGAGGAGTGAGCCTCAAAAACTGAAAAGGCAGAATGGAGAGAATCTGATAACCGACTGATACAGGTAGTGAGGGACAGAGCAGCTCCAGTTGGACTGCCAGTGACATGAGAAAAAAGGAAGGGAACAAGGGAAGGAAGGAGAAGAAGAGAAGAGAAGAGCAGAGCAAAGGCGAGGGGAGGAGCCCAGAACTCAGAGAGTTTGTGGTTTGGGTTTACTGGATTTGAAGTGCTTATCTGATACCCTAGTGGTAACGGGACTAGAACTCACGAGAGGTGAAGGCTGAATGTAAATTCAGTCATCACTGGCATTCATTTAAAATATTTTGGCACCTGCCATGTATCTGGCAGCATGTTAGGTGCAAGGGATAGCATGGCAAACAAGAAAGGCTCAACACTTGGCCCTATGGGTCGTCTTATTCCTCAAAAGCATTGAGTCCCAAAATTAAGTACCTATAAATTAATTTTTTATTCAGGAGGACAAAAAGATGAGGAAACAAAAGAATAGTTTCTGAGGAGTCCACTAAAAAGCAGACAAATACAACTAAACGTGACAAATACTGTAGTAAGGGAATTCAAGATGCCACGGGAGGCTGGAGGCCACATGCCAAGGCCACTTGAGAGGCCAGGAGAAGGGAGCGGGGTCAGAGACGCGCCTCAGAACTGCTTCCGAGGGGAGACTTGAGGACAAACAGGAGTCACTGAGGCAGAAGGATGGGGAGCTTCGTTCTACACAGTGTGAAGAGCACGTACTAGCACCTGGTAGGAATGTAATACTGGAGGGCCTAAAAAGTATTCCGTGCAGTGTGTGACTGGGGGAGACTCTAAGGACCATGGGAAATCCCTGGAGAACTTCCGGCAGGAAATCACGCGAGACTGGAGCTTTGGAAGGATCACTCTAGTTGTTTTATGGAGAGTAAACTGGAGAGGGAGAGTCAACTTGATGGCAGGAAGCCTTGTGTAGAAGACGCAGAGCTAGCCTAGGAGAGGGACGATGACAGCGTGAGTGAGCAAAGCAGGAGGAGCATCGCGGATGAAGCCGAGCTGCGGGAGGGGCTGACTTTACAGGGAGAGTGTGTGCTGAACTGGGATGAAACTCTCCAAGTCGTTTTAACGTGGGTGCTAATTATGCAAACTAGATAGAATCACTAGAAGGCACATAAAAATCTGTAAAATTTATGCAGTAAATTTGAGGAAATGGTAGAAAGAAAAAAGAAAACGCACAAATTGAGAATAAAGGATGATTTGAACAAGCTTTCCACTAAGAGCCCAACAGTTTTTTCTCTTGGAAAACATTTACAACTACACATCTCCTAATGCAAAGCAATTAAAATCATGTGGCCTAAACTAAATTTAGTGAATGGTTACTACACAATGCCAACTTTACACCTCAACTGCCAAATGGCAAAGCAATGATAAAAGTTATTTTCTAAATGCTAGGATAATTAACAGAGTGTAATTTTGGTTGTGAAAAAATAAAACAGACTGATGTGTAAAACAGTCATACATGTTACTTGATAATTTTGTGGTGGTTATAAACCAGTAAATACAAGAATCAAACATTTAAGACATCATTATACACAGGACAGCAATCCCTGCCAATTTGGAACCTCACATTTATCCTTAAAACATTTTTTTGATGGGAATATTTTAAAAGTCAAATGGGTACAGTGATAAAGTACGGAACTGAGAATATAAAAACTCTAAAATCTATGAAAATATTGCTCTGCTGTAAGAGAAACATTATTACTAATAT